GGTGGCCAGGTCCGTGAATTTTCTGTTAGGACAGAAAAAAGAAATAAAAACACAACAAACATTCAATAGTAATTAGAAAGTAAAATACCAGAATGTGTGCAAGTTGATGAATTTAGTTTGTAAAATTAAGTGCATACCAAAAATTTAAATTATGTGTGGCTATGTTTTTATATGTTTTTTGGAGCAGATGGTTTTGAAGTTAGGGTTGGAAGATGTGATAATTTATGAAATACTTTCCAAACAAACCCCAAAGTATTAATTTAGAGGATCGTTTCACAAAGCAGGTTTACCAAAACCTCTACATTTTCTAGCCCTGAAATCATCAGGGAGTTCTTCATTTCACAAAGGGAGTTTCCTCAACCTCTGTTACCCTAGTAACTTTCTCTCTAAAGCTAATCAGGTTTGGAGAAGGTTTTCCTCCTTAAACACAAAGTATTCTCTGTCTCTACCCTCCTTAAAATTTATCACACAATTTAATTACCTGAGTTAATTAGGAGGGTGCTGATGTAGTTTTGTGAAAACCATAAAAAGCTAGTCAGTCACTCCATTTCAAGAAGCAAGTCATATAAAAACTCTTCGTTTTCTAAACCTGAATTAGTTAGCTCAACCTCTGTTTCAGTCACCATAGTAACGTTCACCAAAGAGCTAACCTTATCAATAGCAGGCTTTGTTCAGTCTCCTCTGTCTCCGCTCTCCTTACAGCCAATAAAACTGTTTTATTTCCTGATTTAGTAAGATTTTTGTTGTGGTTTTGTGCATAAAAAAACAACTAATTTTATCTGTTTCAAGAAGCAGGTTTAACAAACTCAGATTGATATAGCCTAAGATCAGGAACTCTTGAGTTTTCGGTTTTCAACAGCTGCTAACAATTAGTTCAATCAACTCTAAGTAGAATCACTCAGAGTTGAGCATATGTGCAACAAGTATGAAAAGCCACCGCACTGATTCGACGACTCATCATGACAACAGGGAACAGGAAGTGCCTATTTCAACACACTAGAACTATAAATTTTAACAATGAAATTAAAAGAAAAAACAGACAAACAGCTCTACAGCTACAAAGTAGAGTGCCCGAGTTCATATGGCTCTGGTGGGCCATTTATCATAAGCAATCTCCTCTCTGTGGTTCCATTTGTAGATCACTTAAATAAGGATCTTACTGTTGAAAATAACACTCCCAAACCGAACTTTAATAATATATTATCTTAACTACATTTTTGCAACAGAAACTGAACTTCAGAAAATAAAAAATAAAAAATTATACAAGTAAGAATTACGTTTTTATATATTGTGTTAACACATTTTAAGTGGCCACTTTAACATTTATCAGCTTGACTGAATATGTATTTATGATAGTGGGTTATAGCAGTGTGCTTAGGCTTTGAGAAGGTTGCAAGTACCTGGTTCAGCCTCCACTATGGGTTGCTGAGCAAGACCCTTAACCCCACACTGCTCCCTGGGTGCTGCACAATGGCAGCCCACTGCTCCCCAAGGGGATGGGTTAAATGCAGAGATACATTTATTCAGTGTACAATCAATAAAGTTACATTTCTTTCTTTTTTTATTTATTGGAATATTGAGATCGGAAGTCAATTTCTTCACATCCAGAGTGTTTATTCTAGATCTGAAAAATGTAATTTTGGTTGAAATGGTCATTTTGACAAGGGAAAAGTTTCTTCAAATATCAGGAATACATATTCAGTAAAACTAATAGCCTACATATCTAGATGGCTTGCCATAGCCTGTTGTGACCATGTTAACATTATGAGTTTATTTTATCTGTCTATTTCTTAGGTGAAATCATCTGTCAGGATGTGAAGATGAAGTCTAAAAACATTGTTCTAATAAATGGAACCTGTTCATCGTTTTATAGGGTTCTTCCTCATGTTGATTCTGTGTTCTTTTACACATTAAATACTAAGTGGCTGTTTTGCAGCCCCTTTTGGATGTTATCATCCCAATAAATGGTGGTAATTAATAGTTATCAGTCCTATTGAATGGCTTCAGATTGTGTCAGTAGGCTCAATAGGTCATTATCACAGAGTGAATCCTAATCCTACGATACATATGCATGCGTAAGTTTTTCTTCAACACTTTTAGTAAACATATACTAGAGTACATTTTTAAGTTAGAACTTCTCATGCCTGTTAACAGCTACTCGAAGTTCAGGGCATAAAAAGTTATAAATAAGATCATATCCACTTCACAGGTGAAATAAATTGACCTAAGCTGAAATTGAGTTTTAAATATCTTTAAAACTATTCTTTTTATTTGACACTTTACAACTAAAACATTTTTTGATGAGCAGATGTTTAGCGCTGCATCTATAAGAATTTACTTGGGGCCGGAAGTTCCCGTGCTTTTTGGGGAATGTGAAGTCAAGCGCATCCATGTTAAATGTGTCCAACCTGGCAAACTATCGAGGCGTTATATTCAACATAGATTTATTATTGGATGCTAAGAAGTAACCGGAATCCATCTCATCTGAGACACCAATGAAAACTCCAGGTAAGGTGAAAAAAGTAAAAAAAGAACCTTCGTAGGTAAGAGCATGTGCTACGAGAACGAACAGAAGAGTGCTGCAGTGCAGTGTTTTGGCCACAGGTGGCAGTATCAGAAACCTCTGTGATGCCTCTTTAAGGAGTAAAGGAAAAATAACAGCTCAAGCTCGTGGATGGCAAGCTGGGAGGGGACGCTATCCATCAAGGTTTGGTGGCTTTTTGGCATGGTTTTCAAAACTACACCAGTACATTTTTCATTTGGTTCCAGGCGAAACTGGCATAAAATGGTGTGTGATTGAATTAGGAAGATATAGATTTCCATGAGTGGACATGAATAGCTAGTGGAAGAGGACAGGGTAGAGTTAAGGAGGAAAGGAGATTGAATCACAGTCAGAGGGGAAAAAATGGAACTGGATGACCATAGTTCAGAGGAAGAGAGAGAAGTATAGTAGGAAAAAAATTCTATCCGCTATTAATTCCTGTTTACATATATTGATTTATGAGAGCTGAGTCACATTCATTCAGGCACCACTGCTGCAAGGCTAAAAGGCGTCTAAGGGTGATGGGTTGTTTATCCTATTCGGGAGTGTTTGGGATAAAAAGACTGGTTCTGAAAACAAGCTAGACTTTCTCAGGGAATATTTTATAACATTATGTGTTGCTTCCAACTGTCTGTCTTTGTTTAGCCACAACAGTAGTAAGGAGAAAAATTCAAAGAGAAGATCGTTAAGTAATATTGAAATCAAGAGATGATGAAGAGATGTAGAAATGGTAAAGGTGCAGGGAGATGCAAATTTAATGGTGTGATGTAAAACTAAAAAACTAAAAAAGAGGCTAAGCAAATTCAGAGCATTTGTAAAAAAAAAAAAAAAAAATGGTGACAGACAAGAAACATTTTAGTGGAAGATAAAATGCTTTGGGCTGTTAATTATGGCATCCTTTTGGATGAGAAATGGGTTAAACTGATGGGAACTGTTGCTGGTACACACACACACACACACATATATATATATATATATATATATATATATATATATATACATATATATATATATATATATATATATATATATATATATAAAAATAAAATTAAACAAAAGTTGGAAAAAGTGACAAAAAAGGTGAGATGGAGAAAGACGGTTTTATAGAATCAAAAAGAAAGCAGGACAAATAAGAACTGGAAGAAGGATTAGAAAGTAGAATAGATTGATTGCAAGATAAAGATTTGGGCATACAGGACAATTCTACACTGTTAAAAGACGAAAGCATGTTACAGGTAAGTTTGATAATTGTGAAGTGGAGAAATCAATAGAATATGTCATATTGAGATGTCAGAAATATGAATAGTCATGAGGGAGCATATGAAAGAATTAGAGATTGGATTTAGCAGTTGCAGTACAAAGAATCTTAGATAGTTAACATGAACAAATAATCATTCACATTTTTAAAGAAAACAACATTGTTCAATAGAATTATGTAATGCACATAGTACTTTTGAAATTATTTCATGATGAACAGCACTTCATACCAATTTCTCATTTATATATTTTTGCCTTTATTACAAAGACACTGTTTGTACCATGTATTTCTCATTTTTATATGCCACAAACTCCAGTGCAATATAAATATACCTAAACATTAAGGAAGGAAACCTTACCCACTACAGAACCTGCGAGCATCCTCCCACGAACGGGGAAATGAATTGTATTTATAATCTTTTTTTACCACGGATCCCAGGCAAAAAGCAGCATTGGTATAAAGAAGGAGGAGAATCAGTGGTCCAAATAGGTTGTGCTTCATCTCCAAAACCCTGTTTTGAAAAATAGGCTTTGAGTTTGTGAAATCAAATATACATATTTTTTTTATTGTAATATCGTTTTAAAACATTAGGTGAACAAGATTTGTGACTCTGACCAAAGTAAGCCGAATGTACGTTGGTACTAATGACTGAATCATAAACAAAGTATCAATACAACATGGACAATTCACTTGTAGAAAGAATATTGCAGCAATAACCTTCGAATTTATGAAATATGCTGGGAATTAGGTAAGTTTTGAATTTATATTTTATCCAAATCTATTATTTTGTAAATGTTAAAAAAGTAAAATCAAAAATTAATTCAATTAGAGAACTGAAACCCAGCTGATTCCAATAAAGAAACAAACAAAACTGTTGACATTCTCTAATTATTAGAAGGATTAAAGACTTTATATGGAATGATTACCTGTCCAGATTATTTGAGTTGCACCTTCTTGCCATTCTTGCCATTGCTTCATCCTCATGTCAGAGGAGGGAAGTGCATATTTAAGATCTAAAGAAAACTGTCACGCCTATTGTAATTCTGCATTTCGGAAAAACATTTGACTTCTAGCAAATTAGAAAAAGATTTACCTATCGGGCTTAACTTTAAAAACAGTTTGCCTTGGGGCTTCAAGGGAGCAAGCAAATGAACCAATGGATGTTTTCAGTTTGTCCACAAACCAGGAGAACGTTGGTTCATAGGGTCTAAAGGGAGGCCTATTTAAGACAAACCGGGGGTTTAGGCACTAGTCCAATAATCTATATTGTGATAAATTCTGACCTTGAACATTTGCAGTAACTACAGAGATAAAATATCAGTAAAGGGTTTTTTATTTCCCAACTCAAACAGAACTCATATAGCATTTGAAAAGATAAATTTGCTTCAATTTTACTTAACTTTTGGAAGTGATATTTAATAGTTTTGTGTTCCTTACAAAGATGGTGTTTGTAACTCCACCTTGCTGACAAAAAAAAAAAGAGGCAATGTATTGTACTTGCTTGTGATCACTGGCCCAGACCTACCTTTAAACTGCTACATTTCCAAGGGACTCTATTTCAACAACATTGAATCAGTAGGGGAAAAAATTAAGTATGATATCTGTATATTACACATCTCCTTGTTGCTAATACTTCTCTCAACTGATGAGTCATAGTCCGCACGGACCTTGACTCTCCAAACCAGTGCAACTCCTCCTCCCTGTGCCTTTTATTTGCATGTCCTGTTTTGCCATTGAAGCTTAGCTTTTACATGCAGACAATCATGACTGTTGCCATGTACTTGTATAAGGAGCTTTATTGAAAATTATTTAGTGAGTGAAATCGTATACACAGACAGAAAAGAAAGGGATAAGAAATAAGTGTAAAGAGATAGAGACAGGAAACCACATGAAAAGAGAATATAAAACAAAATAGCGAAAATAGACAAGATACGAGACAGTAACTCTTAGAAATCTGCTTCCACACCTCTATGAGACAAAATGAACAGAAAAAAGGTAACAGCAGTAAAAAGACAAAAACAGACAACCAAAGTATATCTAAAAAAAACCTTCCAGAGCAGAAAGTATAAATTAGAAATCCATGTGTGTGGAAGGCAAAACAGAAGGTTATCATACAATACTATTCAGGGGGGTATATATCTGTAGCTGCAGCTCATTTTTCAGTATTAAAGTGTATTCGTGAACACCTGGAACCAAACTTGGCATGCTCATGTATAAAGGAATTACAAAGGTTCTTCAGAAAATAGATTCAATTCAGTTTATTTATATAGTGCCAATTCTCAACACGTCATGTCAAGGCACTTTACAGTTCACCAGATCATACACACTAAGCATACTTGTAACAGTGGAGAGGAAAAACTCCCTTTTAACAGGAAGAAACCTCCAGCAGAACCAGGCTCAGTGTGAGCGGCCATCTGCCGAGGCCGACTGAGTTCAAGGAGACAGAAGCAGAGACACAAAAAGCAACTGTAAAAGGCAGCCCCGTCCAGGAAACGCGCAGACAGGCAGACGAGCACCAAGCCAACTCCCATGTCAGAGGATGAAGAGAGCACATCCAGTCAGTCGCGGTCAGAGAAACAGGACTACAATGGAAAAACAGGCTGATATCCAACATCTATAAACAAGGGTGTTGATGGAAGCAGCACAGCTGATATTTCTCTCCAGGATGGCATCACAGCCAAACAGGAACAGACGAGGCAAAGCAATAGCAAAAGAACAGTGAACTTTTAACTTAATACTCTGTGCTCTGCGAGCGCTCCACTGGAAGCTACTGCTCCCGTGGTGCATGCTGGGACAGCAGCCAGTCCGAAGAAGGCACACAGAGAAACAGCCCTCGTCTACTTTTAAGAGTAGGCTTAAAACTTTCCTATTCTATAAAGTTCAGGTTATCCAGAGCTATTTCTGTAGTTATACTGCTATATGCTTAAGCCTGGTAAATGCTTGACATCTCTGCAATTTTTGTGTAGCCAAATTACATCATTTTTGTTTCTGCACAAAAAAACATGGTAGACAATCCCACAGGGTTCGTAATTTAGACAATAAAACCACAATGATCAAGAAATTGGGGGGACTACTCTTGGAAAGAAATTACTCTCACTCTTGGATGATACAAAGAGGCTTTAATGTTTGAAAGGTTGTGACTTTTAAATGTGTTTTGTAAGCTTGAGACTGTGCCGTATTCAATCCCCTAGAACGTCTGGTACAGGTGGAAAAGCTGCACAGATTTTAAAAGCTGAAGACAGGCTTGCAGGTCTAATTTCTTTATGAAATATAAACGTGTCAAGAATATCTGAGGCTGTATGCTGCTGGATGTCATAGGTGGGTAGTGACAGTACAATTACTTGACTACTGTACTTAAGTACTTTGAGTTTCTTTACTTGAGTAATTTTTTAGGGGGAGCCACCTTCACTCCAATGCATTTCAAAGTCTTTTTCACGTCATTTCAAGGAAGCTGCTGGTTTCTGGTTACTTTTTGCTCAGCTTAATTTTGTAATCCGTCGCTGCTTTTTTCTTTCTTGAAATGCAATTTCAACATGCAGCCATTAGGACTGAATCTGGAAACTACATTCCACGTGAGATGAATGTGAGAAACTCAGGGCAGATATTATCTGTACTTTATATATGCCAGTTGATTACTTCTTTGTGGAAATTGATTCAACCTTAAATCTCTAATCCATAGTGTAAGCGTGAGGAAGATGTTTTTTTAAATAAAAACTAATCCAAATGGCTGTAATTATTTGCAGCATTTTTATGCTGTAGTTCAAGTGGCGTAGCATTTGTAGCAGAGTGGTTCTACTCAATACATCAGGTTGCTTCCGAAAGTTACAAGGTTCTTTAAAATCACTATGAAAACTTTACAGAAATTGCTGATATTAGACCATTTAATTTGTATTTTTGAACACCCAAGTACTTTCAAAACCATGTCGCTTTGAATACTTAAGTATTTTTTGAAAAGAAAGTACTTCAAAGCTTTAATGTGAGTAGATGTTTGACCAAGTAACTTTTACTCGTAGTCGAGTGAGATTTGACAATGAGGATCAAAACTTTTACTTCAGTACTACTGTTGAGTACTTTGTCCACCACTGCTCATGTGGACCACTTTTCATCATTCTGCTTTATTCTACTTTTATTCTTCAACTTCTAATTTCATGTCCATTTTTTATAGCTACTTCTGGCTTTAAGTGTTTTCTCCCATTTCTCACCTGAATATGGCTACAGACTCAGATTTTTCTGAAGATAGAGCCACCTAGTTTGCCTTTACTTTTTCTAGCATAAAAAGTATCTATGGATCAGTGCTTCTGTGTTCTGTACACACACCTGTTCAGTTTTCTAAAACTCAAGTTGTTCTCGACAGAAGGACACTGAGCCTGGTTCTGCTGGAGGTTCCTTGTAGTTAAATAGAGTTATTCCTTTCTCCTGTCGTTGCATGCATGCAAGCTTGGTGGGAGGGATTGATGCAAGATCAAAAGCACAAGGCAAGCAAATTTCTGTCACTACATGCCCATCCAGAAAGAGTCTGAACTAGTCTTATTCTAACCGAGTAGCTTGTTAGCATTTCACACCTACTTGCTAACATTTAAACTACCTGAACAGCACTGGTGCACAGGTATAGCAGAGGGGGGGGGGGGGCACTATACAGACTCCACTGACTAATGAAGGCTGCATCAAAACTCACAGGTGCTACTTGAAAGTAAAGGTATTTTTCTATTCTTTGCAACAGTCTGTCTTCATTCCATAAGAATGTGCCGTTCTGCAGAATGGCAGCGTTTATGGCACGCATGGCCTCAGTAAATCCGTTCCCCCCTCTCAGCCCCCCACCTGAATGTATGTGACGAATTGTGATGAATGGTTGTACTGAAACTTAGATTGCAGTGTAAATTTGATTGATTAAACAGACCATTGCTTACCTACTGCCAACCTCTAGGTGGGGATGCTTCTACCTGGCTATTGGGCTTTCATGCGGTTGCTACTCAAGTGGATGCAACAAATCTTAAATAATTCAAGGTTAACAATAAACATATCTCTGTATGTTTTATTATTTATTCTTGTAAATGCATTGATAACTTTTACAGCTGCAGTCACTGTTCAAGTAAACTCCATATCGCATCTGAAAATAAAACAAAATAGTTTAAGCAAAAAAAAAAAAAAACTGTAAATTTAAAAACAAATGGTTATGTTGGACAAAAAAAAAAAAAAAAATGAATGTTCTTTTTGTTAGAAATATTTTTAAGTGACCTGGTTTAGACATGCTCCTCTCTAGCATCTTTAGGGTTTCACCAGTCAACATGTGAATCTCATCCTGTAGCCGGCGTTGTCCGTCCAGAGTTAAGTGCCAGAAACATGACTTCCTCTTCCCCACTTTGCAGAGCTGGTTGCAGGTTTTACGGAAGCTGCTGCTGAAGCACAAGTTGTGGCGGATTGTGTTTTTCCAGCCATCTGGAGCTGTCTGGAAAAAGGGGAAGTGTTCTCTAGGAGATTGAAAAAAAAAAAAGGTATGAGGGTAAGCAAAGACTAAACTTATTTGAGAAAGGCAAAGACTTCATTACGCAAAACATAAAACCTGAATCTTTTGTAAGATTGCAGACAGATCCTAAAGAAAATAATGTTATCCCCCATCTAGAGACCAAAAACTATAGGAAATCCATTATCATTAATAAAAAATTCTCGTCTTTTAATTATAGAAATGTTCTTTTTTTTTTTTTCTTAGTCAACGCATTGTATAAACATAAAAATGCAACTAAAGACATGTTTTTGTTGATTGTCTCCCCATAGTGGTTGGAAGCACATTCATTATGCTGAGCTAGTTTTCAGATCCCTGTTGTAGTTCCCATTACTGAATTTTCCTTTGGAATATGTTTTGCATATTAACATCATATTTTCAGCAGGTTTTGTGTTTGCTGGAAAATTTCCTGTGGCTGCTGTCTGCAGGGACGGAGCTAGATGCCCCCCCAACGGTGCCCATGGCCACCCTTAGCCCTGTGGCCCCACTACCAGTTTTCATAAAATTGCATGAAATTTATTCATGTTGCTACCCGAAGCGTATCATCAACTACATCACTTTAGTCAACACAAAGTTTGGCAGTGGAGGAGGAAAAAATTGACCCTTTAGTTTACCAGTCCGCCTTCATTTATTTGGCTCTCCACCTCCTACCTGGTAAAGTTGTAAATCTGCTGGACTTTGAGGCTCCCAGTTTGGCTGCTCTTTAGTGCCAAAGAAATAAGGATGCAATAATTCACTGGTGGACGAGGCCAGCACCCCGGTTTTAAGGACTTCAGGTCCTAAGAGGCAAATGTTAAGACAAAAAACCAAGACATATCTAATGTGAATAAAACATTTGACATTGACCATAAATTATAAAATCTGACAACCTACCTTTAAATGCACCAACCTTTTTTTTTTTTTTTTTTTTTTTTTTTTTTTTTTAATACATTTAATTGTTGAACTTTATTCCAGGGAGTTGAAGTTAAAACCCTGAAATAAAGCTGCCATCCTCACCACAACTTTTGTGATTCTCCCCTTGCGTCTGGTCCTGGTTGGTCGACTGGAGACCTCTTCCTCCTTTATCTGAAAGTTAAAGATGTGGGGATTAAAGAGAAAATCCTACATGAAAATATAGGGGCATTAGTCGAGTTAGCATTTATTTGGTTTATTTAAAAGCAAGAGTTATATTGCATGATTAAAATATTTCTAGCGCTGTTCATGTAGCACAGTAAAAGGTATAGAAATACCCAACACCTGTTGTGTGAACTGCATTTTTTTCCATTACAGATTGGCTCAAATGTCGCTTCAGTCAGAACTAGGCCATGCTCTTTAGACTGAATAATTTAGTCGTCTCATTTTAATCTGTAAAGCAATAAAATTAATGTGCATGCTTGCAGAAACTGCTGACATACTCCAGCAGCATGAGGTCTAGCATTGTCCTAGGTTAGAAGGAACCCAGGGCCAGATGCACCAGCATATGGTCTCACAAGGGGTCTGAGGATCAAATCTTAGTACCCAGTAGCTGAACTCAACACAGCAAGATCGCACAGAGCAAACCGTGTGGGACAGGAAGTCATGCGCAGAAAAAAAACAAAAAAAAAAACAATCTGGCTAATTTTCAAAATAACTAATTTTCCTTGGTAACTTTCCTTACTTCAAGAGTCACCATGGGTCCTTGAAAAGCATTAAAATGCTCTATTTTTATCCACAATTGCTGTAATGTTGTAGACTCCTATATTTATTCATTTTATATAATTGCTTAAATGTGCATATTTTATCAAGTTTAATTTTATATTCCAACTTATTTAAAGTATTTTTTTTTTACCATTTTATACTTTGACATTGGGTTGCTCTGAAACCCAAAACCAACTTTATTTTATGTCAACGTGTCGAAATGACAAACTCCATGAAACATGATTTTGAAATGGCATATTGTTTTCATTTCTATCATTTTGTATTTGACTCTGTTGATTTTCTTCATTAAAAGAAAAACAGGATAGGGGACAAAGGCTGAGTAAAAACAACCTCCTCTTTGGGCCGAACAGCAAGAAGAGTAGAGAAGAAAGTGATATAGGGGGAGCAGTTACCATACTATAAAAGGAAGACACTGTACCAGTGAACTGTATGAGTTTTTAAATGTAAATATGTATTGCATGATAATTGAAGTAATTGAAATACACTATATTGCCAAAAGTATTTGCTCACCCATCCAAATTATTGGAATCAGGTGTTCCAATCACTTCCATGGCCACAGGTGTATAAATTCAAGCACCTAGGCATGCAGACTGTTTTTACAAACATTTGTGAAAGAATGGGTCGCTCTCAGGAGCTCAGTGAATTCCAGCGTGGAACTGTGATAGGATGCCACCTGTGCAACAAATCCAGTCGTGAAATTTCCTCGCTCCTAAATATTCCACAGTCAACTGTCAGCTGTATTATAAGAAAATGGAAGTGTTTGGGAACGACAGCAACTCAGCCACGAAGTGGTAGGCCACGTAAACTGACGGAGCGGGGTCAGCGGATGCTGACGCGCATAGTGCGAAGAGGTCGCCAACTTTCTGCAGAGTCAATCACTACAGACCTCCAAACTTCATGTGGCCTTCAGATTAGCTCAAGAACAGTGCGCAGAGAGCTTCATGGAATGGGTTTCCATGGTCGAGCAGCTGCATCCAAGCCATACATCACCAAGTGCAATGCAAAGCGTCGGATGCGGTGGTGTAAAGCACGCCGCCACTGGACTCTAGAGCAGTGGAGACGCGTTCTCTGGAGTGACGAATCGCGCTTCTCCATCTGGCAATCTGATGGACGGGTCTGGGTTTGGCGGTTGCCAGGAGAACGGTACTTGTCTGACTGCATTGTGCCAAGTGTAAAGTTTGGTGGAGGGGGGATTATGGTGTGAGGTTGTTTTTCAGGAGCTGGGCTTGGCCCCTTAGTTCCAGTGAAAGGAACTCTGAATGCTTCAGCATACCAAGACATTTTGGACAATTCCATGCTCCCAACTTTGTGGGAACAGTTTGGAGCTGGCCCCTTCCTCTTCCAACATGACTGTGCACCAGTGCACAAAGCAAGGTCCATAAAGACATGGATGACAGAGTCTGGTGTGGATGAACTTGACTGGCCTGCACAGAGTCCTGACCTCAACCCGATAGAACACCTTTGGGATGAATTAGAGCGGAGACTGAGAGCCAGGCCTTCTCGTCCAACATCAGTGTGCGACCTCACAAATGCGCTTCTGGAAGAATGGTCAAAAATTCCCATAAACACACTCCTAAACCTTGTGGACAGCCTTCCCAGAAGAGTTGAAGCTGTTCTAGCTGCAAAGGGTGGACCGACGTCATATTGAACCCTATGGATTAGGAACGGGATGTCACTTAAGCTCATATGTGAGTCAAGGCAGGTGAGCAAATACTTTTGGCAATATAGTGTATGTTCGAAGGCTGGCCTTCCATAAAAAAAAGAGTGAATAGATTAGGTACCAGTATCAACATAATTTAATAGAGACATTAATTTTAAATAGGGACTGGTTGTCTTCATCCTACTGTAGCTCCTAACAGCCACCACTATTCAGATATCACTTATTCCCACAGCTGACACATTTTTGCCATGTCTTAAGGTCTTTTTACAGTTGTGAGGAATTTTAATTGAGCCCAATTCTGGTCCAGTTATCTTGCTGGCTTTCATGTTTGCAGACTGTTGCTCTTTGCAAAGTAAATAAAAAATAAAATAGCAAATATTTGTTTGGACAATATAAACTAAGTGATTACTTTGGGCCCCTGACTAACTACTGGGTCTCTGTACCCCCAAGAACAATTTATATTTTTTTGCATCTATAATGGTTTCTATCAAATTATAATAAAAACATATAGTTTCATGATGAAATTTTAAATTGGTTTACGTCAGTAAACCTTTATTCCGCAATAATTAGCAATAATCGCTTAAAGGAAAGATGAAATTGACTGGTCTTGGGGCAAATTGTCAAATTGACACAGATGCTAAAGGACCAGTGCAAACTCAAAAACAAACTTATCTTTGGTGAACAGTCTGGCAGTGATGAGAGTGCACTGGCACCAGAGACTGAAAACCTTCCAGATACCCTAAAGCATTGATGTACCAATTTAATTATTTACCTTTTTGAAAATCAGATTAGAGTTCAACCCAAATGTTGCATCTGCAGAGCAAAACATCAGAACTGAGATTATTAAAGAATTAACCTGAGATGATTCAAAAAAAGATTAAGTTGGCCTGGAGTGTTTAGTTTTAACCACAAAATTGTCAGAGATCTTTTACACTGACGCAACAAGAGACTTAGCAAACAGAAAAGCCAGGAAGCACAGACTTGAGTTAAGAGTATTGAGGAATAGTTTCACAATACAGATCAATTTTATCATCGTATTCATTGCATGGGACAAAGAAGACATGATGTGCAGCAAGTTAGCTGTGTTTGAATACCCACAACGAAAAATGGTATGTAAGGTTACCATATATTCAGTTGGGGGAATTGAGAACATTAGTTCCTCCTGATGGGGACATTTCCGTGGCTCAGATGTAGATGGACCCTGCATCTCTCCAGGCTCTAACTGAGGCAGACGGCTGGAGGCCGAGGCAACCGATTCAGACTGGTGATTGTACTGGAGCGGACATGCAATGTTGGGATTCACCAAAAGCCACAGGTTTGGTTTAACAAATGTATCTAATAGAGAGGAGGGAAAACCACACATTGCACAAATTCATTCAACTCCTTCAGTGATTATTTAATGGACCTTTAAAAACAATCAGCAGTCAGAGGTACAAGAATGATGCAAAAGGCAGCAATGATGACAGAAAAGTAAAGCCTGAAACATTTCAAAAAGCTATTAATGAAGAAGCGAATGTGCAACACTCCTGAAATATCCCGATCTGAACAATGTAGGAGACCAAACCAATCTTTTGGTTAACTCACCTGATGTTTTATCATACCAAATAAAGTCATCCTTTCTTCTGGAGGCCCTTGCAGAGGGTCTTTGGGCCACATATGGATCATTCGTTATGTCATCTGTCAAAGATTTACAGATTCCCTTGACACATATTCCTGCATTATGAATTTGCAGAAATAAAAAGAAAAACAAACACTAAATTCTCATCGTTTCAAAATGTTTCTGTCTTGTATAAACCAAACACTTCTCCATACTGTTTCTAATCAAATACCAGGTGACATTTGCTCTTTAATTCAGCTTTTTTCAAGGAGTGGTTCACCGTGATAAATTTGGTCAGTGGTAGTTGCCAGTTTCAGCTCCTTATCCATGTCCCAGTCTGTCAGACCCACAGAGCAGTGCAGGTCAAAGAATCCAGCTTCAGTTTTCAGCTGGAAAGTCATACTTTAATCTGTTTCAGAAGTTTTCTTCCCTTCTTATGAGGAACGGGGAAACTGAAGCCTGCAGGCTGTTGATTTAACAGCTGGAGCAGAACTGCCTGATTAGACCTAATCAGATCTAACAGAGCACAGCCTTCTTTGAATGGAAACAAATCAACTCAGGGCCATTTGTGTAATTTTCATCTTACTTTTGGTTTTGATGCAGACTGAACAATATGCTACTAGTAATGAGTTGCAGTTGTTATATATATATATATATATATATATATCAGCATCTGCAGGAAGTGCTTAAAAAAAAGAGGATTCTTTCACATGTTTCCTTTTGTTTGATACATTGAAGACAATCTTTCGGATTAATTTAGGAGTTGGTAAATTGAATGGAGGCATTTATTCAACTTGTTTAACTTTAATGGTCTAAAATACTTAAATACTGATGTTTGTTTCTACTAAATAAAAAGAACAATTGTTTAGTGGTAAAGAATGCAGGTTCAAATAAGGCTTTCTAGAAAAATAAAAATTCAACATTTGCATTTATCAGCCTTAAATTGTCACATTAAACATTTTTTTATTTGCTTATTAAACAATTTTTAAATTCCACATCAGATTTAGAAAAAAGTAATATAATGGATTTTACTTTTCACCTAAATTTTATTTCCAGTGCCATTTTTAAGAATTATCTCAAATGTTTAAGGAAGTTGGGTGTTAACCTAGTCTTGGATATGAATAATTTAAATAAACACACATCAGTCCTGGTTTTAAAGCATTAACCTGACATTTTCAGTAAATTTCCTAAACTTTGGAAACTAAAAAATGATTAAGACTTTCCATTTCTTCAGACCAAAGTCTGTTTATTGTCATTGAGAATGCACAGTTCACAACATCAGATCAAAACATTAATAAATCAAGTTTTATACAACATGAGAACACAAAATCATATAATAATTTTTTAAATATCTATATAACCTGTAGAGTTTAACAGGATTTTTTTATATAGCCACAATATTCTAATACCACTTTGTTCATATACAGAAACATCACACAAATGCAGGAATGACAGCAACGTCTGACTGCTTCAGAACCCGCAGCTCTCATTCCATTCAAGCTATAACTTGTCTAAAACAGTAAATCAGACTCATTTGTGTCACTTTTTGTCGTTGGGAAAGACAGTAATTACCAGACATGCAGATAAACTCTAGTGCCAGAACAGAAATAAATACAGACTTTAAAGAACTTAAAGTAGAGGAATGTTTCAAATACATTTTATTTCAGCTGAATAAGATAAAGACTAGTTGAGATTGGTTAGCTTGGAGAAAGAGAAATCAAAATCTTCAACCAACTGAAGCTTGCTGAATTTAACCTGTTTTTACTAAATTGCAAATATCAGCTTAAGTTTATTTTACCATCTGAGGGGTTGAGAGCGTGAGAAGCGATGGTTTAAGCACACTGAGCTTGGAAAGGTTTGATCATCCAGACACAAGTTTGAAAGTCAAATGGGTTCAAAACAGGGACCAAAGCCCTCTGGCAAACAACACACGGGTGATTTGTTTTAGAGCACAGAATTTACAATATAGAACACCTGACTATGAGAAAGTATCAGAGCCAGGGTTTTAGATCCTTTACCACCAGACTGACTAGAGACGAGAGTGGATGAAATGATAGAGGGCTGAAGATGGAAAAAGTGAGTGGAAATGCAAGCTCAAAATATTGGGATGTAGTTGTCAATTTTAGCGCGGTGCCGCTGAGCGATGCATTCTGCGATCCACACAATGTTCCTGCACTCCTGCTCCTTCAGCTTGACGTATGCGTAGAAGACGCTGAAGTGGAACTGGTTGAGGAAAGCTAGCTTGTTCAGCTTCACCTGCAATTCACAGAAAGGAAAAAAGGGAAATTAGGAATTTTAGTAGAAAATATGCAATTAGAAAGTTTGCAATATTTCCCTGTGTCAAATTAAGGCTGTAACAAATGATTATTGTCAGTATTAATCAACAAATCAGACAAAGAAAAGTCCTATTCTGCAGATTGTTCACTTATTTCAAATGCTACAGTCACACTTAACACGATTTGAGCAGCAGATGCAGCTGGTTTACGTGCAAGGTTTATGGTTGTTGCTCATCAAGGCACATCAAAAGGTCCTGCAGTGTTGAGCAGCAGACAAGGGTTCACAAATGTGGCATCCTGTGAATTAGCTCATAAATATCACCACTACCAACAGATTGTGGAAAAACTCTAAGAAAGAAATACTGTCACTCTTGAACAACATGAAAAGGCTTTTATAAAGCTGTAAACGGCTGTTTTCTACTACTACTTATGTAGTATAGTGCTGAACATCTATCCTATCTCTCTGGGCTGCTTTGTCAGACAGCAAAAAAGCCCAAAAACAAAACAATTGGGGGGGGATTCGGAATCTCTTCCAGCTGGATGACGTTAAGTATGCAACTTAGGCAAGATGTCATGTAACACATTTAAAGACAAAAAATAGCGACTTTTCTTGCTGAGCAGTTGACAACATTATCTCTTCGTGTCTTTCTCCCAGTCCAAGAACACGACTGACTCACACAAAAGCTGCTCTAATTGACTACATTTACTAAATGTAGTCAATTAACGTCAAAAGATTTTAATAAATTACTAGATGAGGCTAGTAATAAAGTAGTAACACATTAAGGATGTTTTCACACCTGCAGCATTACAGTAGGTCGATCTAAATTTCAAACGCCTAAATTTGGTCTCATTTGGGTGAGTCGCTCGGACTCTAATGTGCACAAAACTAGTGCAAAATGAACAGGTCTCGGTTTGGCTTCAGCTGTACTCCGGTGCATATTCCGGGCAAAATCAACAGGTTTGAGCTAAAACGAAAGAGGGCTACTTTAGTGACTTGGACACAACAAAGACATATTTCCACTGTAGAAAACGTTTTTTTCCTTTTTTGTTTAAAGACAGTTGAACAGAAACCACAATTCATATTAAGGTCAATAATGCTCAGGTGATTTTTACAAGTACTAAAGGGTTGCTCAATATGCCAATGCTTACTTCCTACTAAGGCATTTAAAACAGTATTATACAACATTTGGCTGGGACCGATATTTACAGTGCCGCCAACAGAGCTTGCAGCTACACGATGGCAGCGCTGAGATGGGAAATGTGTTGGAGAGAACATTGCTGCCAGCGACTTTGTTACTACATTTAGTTTTCAGACTGCTGTCATTACTTTTTTTTTTTTTTTTTTTTTTAAAGAGACTAGTGACTTTTTCTATGTTGTTGTAGACCAGGGGTGGGCAACTCCAGTCCTTGAGGGACGATTTCCTGGAACATTTAGATTCCTCCTTTGTTCAACACACCTGAATCAAATGGTTGAATTACCTCCACAGTATGCAATCAATTTCTCCAGAGTCCTTTTAATTATCTATTTACTCTATTCAGCTGTGTTAGGTCAAGGACATATCTAAAAGTTTAAGGATTCAGGCCATCCAGGGCTGGAACTGCCCATCCCTGTTATAGACTGTGGTGACAAATGGTAAAAGCATTGTTGGGTCAATATACTGTTTTTAGTGAGCAGGCAGTGCTTTGCATATGCAAAGCTGTTGGCTCAAATATGCAAAATGGTAAAGAGAGAGAATAGTTTCATATTTTGTTTCAACATTGTGTGCAATAGAAAAGATTGTCCTTGTTTTTTTCCTGAATTATATGCTATTGTTAGTAATTATATAAATAAATAAAGTCTGTAATTATACTGCTGGTGCTGAAAAGAAAAGTATCAAAATGTTGAAACAGATATCAAAATGTTAGTATCATGACAACCCAGCAGTACTAGATAAACTACTGATATTATAACAATAACTATCAGCATCTCTTTCATTACAGTTTGACATTACAATGAAATTTGTTCTCTGCTTTTAAATTATCCATCAGGGAACAGCATAGTAAGCATCTCAGGGCTAAGGAACCAAAAAACACCATTCTAAGGGAATTGAAGCAGGACAGTTTAGTCTTCCTAAAGCAGAAACTCCCTGTTCTAACCACTAGACCATCAACAACAAAAAAAAGTTATGTCCGGATAAACTATATAGAAATGTACTAATTAATAATTAACTTCGCAGGCCAATCTATGTATCCCAGCGCATTTTTAGAAAAAAAAAGCTGTTGACAGCTGCCTTCAGTCATCTTGCAAAAGTCTGTCCCATGACAATGATTCAGCCATGATGAACTGTTCCTAAATTAAACCAACTGCTGTAAAAGGAAAAAAAAATGTGTTATGAACTGATTTACCTCATGTTCAAAGAAGCGATCCTCCAGGGTTTTATCTCCTGGGTTGCTGCCTGCACCTTCAAACAACAGCTTGTACTCCTGAAGATGAATTAAAAAAAAAAGAGCACAGAGACTTATACATGAGCTTTTTACTGGGACATGTCAATACTATACATCATGTACGATAAACGATTGAGATAAAAACAAAATACAGCACAGAACAGCTACAATATGAGAAACCAATTAGAAGCTAGAAAAAATAAAGTTCTGCCTAACATCTACAATATAAAAAAAATAAATAAACATATGCGGAGTAAGAGCGCCCCCTGATGGACCACACTATACAAAAGTATTCTCAAGTTTACTATGATGTTAAATGTGAATAGTAGGCTATACAATTAGGTCTTATGCATTATTAATACAATTATAACTGCTTTTTGTAGCAACATAGAAAACAGTTATTCAAGCTCACTCTGCACACCAAACCAAACATGGAGAAGCAACATTTAGTTCCTACGCTCCACTTATCTGGAACAAACCCCCAGAAGACTGTAAAAGTGCTGAAAGGCTCAGTTCTTTTTAGTCTAAGTTAAAAATCCATTTGTTCAGAACTGCCTTTGACTGTGACATTTAAAGTGGTAACTGAATTAACATTAGTTTTAATTTGTGTTCCTACTGTTTTATTTGCTTTACTACCTGCTTTTATCCTTACTTGCTTTTATTTTCCTTCTATTTTACCGTTTAATTCATGTAAAGTACTTTGAATTGTCTCTGTACTGAACTGTGCTGTACAAATAAACTTGCCTTGCCATATTTCTCTATTGAATCAATGATTAAGCAAACAATTTTAATTTCTTGCCTGTTGCAAAGTGAAAAAGAATGATGAGGCAATCCTGCTTCAAAAGCAAAAGCACCAAAACTGAAGATCATTTTAGATTTGACAGGTTTTATTAGTAAACTGAAGTATTTTGGACTTACAGGATAATAATCAGCAACAGCCTTGACTTGCTCATAGTCATCAGCACGGGCCAGTTGTGCAAGACCTTCTGGATAAAGCTTGCCGCAGTGAGGGAAGAGCTTGGCTCGGTCTTCCTTCGATAGCTCTGTACCAAATGAGTTGATGGTGATGATGAAAGCTCTTCTATCGGCCTCAAACTGCAACAAAAAAAACAAAAAAAAAACAAAAAAAAAATTGAACCAAAAGGTTTGTGCAAAACATAAACAAGGAGGATGCAAGATCCATTAAAGGAGAATTCCGGTTTTTAACACTTTTAGCCCATTTTCTGTAGTGTCCAGGATGAAATCGAATGATCTACACCAAAATTTTGACGATTGGTCCTGTCTCTGCTTTTTGGCTCATGCAGAATCCACCCCTGGCTGCTTCAGAATGGCTTCCATTGTGCATGTCCGATAATGTCCTTAAAACAACCTTAAATTTTCTTTTTTTAAAATATGCTACTCACCGGGTCGTCAGCGCTGTTCAATGACATTCCAAAAAAAGTTTCGTGAAGAAAAAACGTTCCTGTAGTGTTTTATTTAGCATTTTGTAAATCCCATTGAGGTCTGTTGGAATAGTCAATATGCCTCCGCCACCGGAAATGGGGCCTGTTTACGCTTAGTTGTAGTCTTTTCGCTTCACTCTGTGTACTCCGACGTCGAGGTGCTAACGTCTCTGTTAAACACTTTAAAAAACTCAGAAAATTTGTTTGCTATGTCCTACACAGTGGTCCTACATTCCCAAAGTATAGAGACATTGTCGCCAACTAGTGGTCTGGAGTGTGCAACGCTTCAGATTCGAACGGGAAGCTGAAGTTTATAAGCGGTTGTGATGTATCGGAAAAAATAGTTCTGGGATTTACAAAATGCTAAATAAAACAAGACAGGAACGGTTTTTCTTCACGAAACTTTTTTTGGAACGTCATTGAACAGCGCTGACGACCCGGTGAGTAGCATATTTTAAAAAAAGAACGTTTAAGGTTGTTTTAAGGACATTATCTGACATGCACTATGGAACCCATTCTGAAGCAGCCAGGGGGGGATTCTACATGAGCCAAATAGCCGAGACAGGACCAATCGTCAAAATTTTGGTGTCGATCATTCAATTTCATCCTGGACACTACAGAAAAGGGGCTAAAAGTGTTAAAAACCGGAATTTTCCTTTAAGCTCCAATATTTCAAAAAATATTCCGTGGGTTTATTTTATCTGTAGCAAAACCATAAATATTTTCTGAATTATAATTTTTCTATCTTTGTGGTACCGACTGACCTCCAGTATTGGACACATAGTGTCGGCAGTGGTTCCTCCCAGGTTAGAACAGAACTTGTAGAAAGCCTCCAGGTAAGCCTGAAAAAAAATTGTTTTAGGAACCGATATAAAGTGAAACAAACACAGCTGTCAAATTGAAACAATTAAATTTTTTTCCTGTAAATAGTTTTATATTTCCAGACAAAATAATTTTCAGTGTAAATAAGGGATTTACCTTGTAAAGTGTGTTACGAATGATTTCAATATTCATCTCGTCCAGATCCTGCTCAGATATACAATCCTGGAAGAATGCAGCTGTACAAAAAGAAATAATTGTTATTATTTTGATGTTTTGTTTTTTAATCACTCTAAGCAAATGTTTTCGCTTTAATTAATGAGTTAATGTGAGTCCCAACATACCTAGAGGAGTGTCCACCAGGATGGCATTATAGAGCTCAGCAGGGGTCTGGGCAATGTTGACTGCCTCCATCTGCTCGAAGCTTCCCAGGGGGTGACATTTTGGGACGAGTTCAGAGATCGCCCTCTGATGCAGGGTGCCCGTGATCAGCAGGATGACGTTATCAATCATATAGCTGTACCTACAAAACACAAGTGCCAGAATTTTAGAAAAGGTTTTATTTGGATGTTCACAGCCTAGGAATATGTTTAAATTTTAGCATAAACACATTTTTAGAGTGCAGAGAAAATATTAAAATGTATAGATTAGGATTTTAAAATGTTTAGGATCTTTGATGATTTATGCTAAACAGAAAGATAATTTATGCTAAACAGAAAACACATATTTCCATGTTATTGTTGTTACTTGTTGGTTATTACTATTTATTTGCAGAATCTGTTATTTTAAAATACTTTGCAGGATTCCAATTAGCTGTTTATGGAACTTAGAGAAATATTGTTGTAATTGATCCAATTTGGCAGATTTCAACTCACGTGATAAAATCCATAAAGCTAGCCAAAGGTTCGTACGACTGGTTCCTCATGTGGCGAAACTCCACCACCATCTTTTCCTTCAACTTATCATCGATGACCGACACAGTGAGTGGAGATGCCTCATTGGCAAGAAAACTGCCATAGTCTGTGCTTTGCAGATGGAGCTTTAGGTCTGCAGAGTAAAAACATTGTCAAAATTAAGATTATAATACCATCAGTAGCAGACAATGCAGTTTTATCAAATATTTGTTAGGTTGTCTGTCAACCTAAATAAATAATCTGACCTCAGATAAACCTCAAATATTCTTCAAGCTTCTTTAGTTGCAAAATCAACTACTCAATCTGGATGTAAAGCTACATTTTTCTTTTAGATCAGGTATTTTAAACATGTGAGGAAGAAAAACGTATATTGATCCTAAATTCCTAAAATATTGGTTGTGGTAGCATATACTATAGGTTTCTGGCAATTATACACCAAATAAAACTGCAATGTCTGTAGTAAAAACTCTGAACAGTTGGCATATTACATTTAAACAATCAAGAGTTAACAAAGCAATGTTGAATGAAAATCAGTAAAAATTAAAAGAGAAAAAGGTTAAGATACAACATCTTGAATATTTGGTATGACCCAATTTGGATTTTTTATTTTATTTTATTACAACTAGTAAATAACACCCCTAGCAAATTAAACCCATTACACCTAGCAAATAACACCTGGTGCACCAACCACAGCATTCAACAAAGTATAAGATAGTGTGAATAACTTCATACATTTTAAAAGCTTGCAAAGTGATTTTAACTAAGGGAGGAGTCTATCCAAAATCAGTGGAAGGTACCAATACTAATGTACGTCACAGATCAAAAAATTAAGATCCAAACTGTGGACATTTCTTATCATAAGCCATGAGTTTGTATTCCATATTTAATGCTGCAGAGTTTCTGAATGATGTTCTGCTGTTAAATGGCAAACTGTGAAGTGGAAATCTAACAGAAATGCTCTGAAGGGAAGCGGGTCTCATGAGACGTGCAGTAGATTCTCTTTAGTGGTGGTTTTAATTCCTGGTCCTCAAGTACCACTGCCCTGCACGTTTTAGATTTCATCTTTGCTGACTTAAACCTGAATTATACAACAATTAACCAGCATTGCAGCCCTTGAAGGCTGCTAAGGAAGTCTTATAATAATTTAAAAAAACTTGAGTTGCAACAGACAGACATCCATAATATGCTGGGCAGTGATACATAAGGAGGTTTGAGAAATACTGCTCTTTAGGTAAAACACTAAAACACTGATAGTTAGCAATGTTTTAGCAGAAGGCAAAACATGGAGTGCAGCAATGTAGTTAACCTACTTTTAATCACAACATGACTGCTCTGTGGAAATATTTTTTTAACTAGAAACACCACAAAGTAAGACAACAGTATGGAATATTTACTAAGCTGCTATACAGAGAGGCAGAACCCTAACTGTGACCTACAGGTGCTGGTCATAAAATTAGAATATCGTGAAAAAGTAGATTGATTTCAGTAATTCCATTTAAAAAGTGAAACTTGTATATTATATTCATACATTACATACAAACTCATATATTTCAGATGTTTATTTTGTTTAATTTTGATGATTACAAATGACAACAAATGAAAATCTCAAATTCATCATGTCAGAAAATTAGAATATTACTGAAGACCAATAAAAACAAAGGATTTATAGAAATGTTGGCCAACTGAAAAGTATGAACATGAAAAGTATGAGCATGTACAGCACTCAGTATTTAGTTGGGCCTCCTTTGGCCTGTATTACTGCAGCAATGCGGCGTGGCATGGAGTCGATCAGTCTGTGGCACTGCTCAGGTGTTATGATAGCCCAGGTTGCTCTAATAGTGGCTTTTAGCTCTTCTGAATTGTTGGGTCTGGTGTATTGCATCTTCTTCTTCACAATACCCCATAGATTTTCTATGGGGTTAAGGTCAGGAGAGTTTGCTGGCCAATTAAGAACAGGGATACCATGGTCCTTCAACCAGGTACTGGTAGCTTTGGCACTGTGTGCAGGTGCCAAGTCCTGTTGGAAAATGAAATCTGCATCTCCAAAAAGTTGGTCAGCTGCAGGAAGCATGAAGTGCTCTAAAACTTCCTGGTATGTAGCTGCGTTGACCCTGGACCTCAGAAAACACAATGGACCAACACCAGCAGATGACATGGCACCCCAAACCATCACTGACTGTGGAAACTTTACACTGGACTTCAAGCAACGTGGATGAAGTGCCTCTCTTCTTTTCCTCCAGACTCTGGGACCTTGATTTCCAAAGGAAATGCAAAATTTACTTTCATCAGAGAACATGACTTTGGACCACTCACCAGCAGTCCAGTCCTGTTTCTCTTTAGCCCAGGCAAGACGCTTCTGACGCTGTCTGTGGTTCAAGAGTGGCTTGACACAAGGAATGCGACAGCAGAAACCCATGTCTTTCATACGTCTGTGTGTGGTGGTTCTTGAAGCACTCACTCCAGCTGCAGTCCACTCTTTGTGAATCTCCCCCACATTTTTGAATGGGTTTTGTTTCACAATCCTCTCCAGGGTGCGGTTATCTCTCTTGCTTGTACACTTTTTTCGACCACATCTTTTCCTTCCCTTCGCCTCTCTATTAATGTGCTTGGACACTGAGCTCTGTGAACAGCCAGCCTCTTTAGCGATGACCTTTTGTGTCTTGCCCTCCTTGTGCAAGGTGTCGATGGTCGTCTTTTGGACAACTGTCAAGTCAGCAGTCTTCCCCATGATTGTGTAGCCTATAGAACTAGACTGAAAGACCATTTAAAGGCTTTTGCAGGTGGTTTGAGTTAATTAGCTGATTAGAGTGTGGCACCAGGGGCCATCAATTTTGAACCTTTTCACAATATTCTAATTTTCTGATATGATGAATTTGAGATTTTCATTTGTTGTCATTTGTAATCATCAAAATTAAACAAAATAAACATCTGAAATATATGAGTTTGTATGTAATGTATGAATATAATATACAAGTTTCACTTTTTAAATGGAATTACTGAAATCAATCTACTTTTTCATGATATTCTAATTTTATGACCAGCACCTGTATAATCCAACTGGTAGCCAAAGTGTAGGTAATCTTACACTTAATACCGCAAACCATCAAGCAATGTTTAGCAAGACATTCTACCAAGGAGTGTAACTGCAATCATGTCCTAAAAAACAACCTTAAACATCTGTAAAATAAAAAAAGGTAATAATAATATCATAAGAGATTATGGGAATGTTTAGCCAGGCAGAAAGCCAACTGAAATTACCACTGGGGTCAATCCAAAACATGGCAAGATAATGCCACAGTTAATGCTGTGAATTTTTAAAATCATTGTATTTTTTAAATATATTTAATAGTTGCTGAGACAGTAATTTGCAATAATAGCAATAAGCAGCCTTTTTTACAATTATATTTATTTATCCTTCAATATATATCAGATACACATATCTAGTGTTGATTTGAATTGAGTTCAATCAGACTTGATTAAAACAAAGTACAGCAGTGTGTGTGTTTTTTTTCACCCTTAATAATTAATTTTCTTTAATTTACTAAAGACAATAACTTTGCATATTTTCAATAAGGATAGAATTTTTCCTTTTAACACGATGGATTATCTGTTTCGCTTTTGTGACCTTATACTTATGTAAAGTTGTGTGTGCAGCCCTAATATGTATAAAATATACACAATATAAATCATAATAACATAGTGAAAAGGGAACTATAAAAGCAGCCTCGCTTTAAACAAAAGCCCATCATTTTATAGCCTCGGCAACAATTTCCTACATTATCTATTGAAAAACACTAGCTAAGAAGTGCTAGCATCAATCAACATCAGATTCATTAGACATTGACAGTAAATGATGTTCGATACTTGAAGGCTAAACTAAAAGACAAAGATAACTGTATCAATACAAGCACAGACAAAAACACTTATACATATACCGAGTTAAGCCACTTTATTTAGTATTTAAAACGATAGCTAGATTTAGCTGCTAGCAGTTAGCTTCAGTCTGCTTTAGCTCACCTTCCAGAGTCTCACACTGAACCAGGTTTAAATAATCGGCCTGAGACAGTATTCCAGCTTTAAACCCCCTGACCAGCCCCTCCAGGTAGCCGTTATCTACGTTAAAATAGAGCTCGGAGAAAGGCATCCTGGCCGACCGTCAGACCGTCGCTGCAGCTGGGAAACCGTCAGTTAGCGTCAGCTGAGGAACCACGTGACAGTCACCTGATCCGTCAGCTGCCTGTGTGTAACTTCGAGATTTACGAGATATCAATCACCCGATATCTTTGCTACTTAATTTATTAAAACATAGATTGATATTAGATCTTAATCGTAGCACTAAAGGTAACAGCTGTTTTTCAGCTTAAAAATACCATGAAACGACAAGACGTAATATTCATGATAAACCAGTAGGGGGCAGTAATATTAATTTAAAATGTAAGGCCCCAGACATAAACTCACTATATTTATCTATATTCATTTAATATCTTATTCTACATGTGATGGAAAATAGATTTTTTTTAATGGGAGATTTCTATAATATACAATCATGAAAAATAATATGATGGTATATTAGATAGATGGATAGATAGATAGATGTTTTTAAAATCCTGCTTTCTGGTGATATACAGTCTACTCTAGTACTTCAAAATAAAAAAAAATAAAAACTTTCCTATGTTGTTGGTCCGTCATTTACTATTAGGCATTTAAGTAAACTTGCTTTTTAAGAGCACTCAACGATAGTTTTTGACTTATGTCATAATCGAAAAAGAAAAACTTACAGTACTATTAATGAGTCAAGTCTTGCTTATATACCAGCCATCATGAGGACATGGAGTGGGCAAACCTTTTCCACATGAATGTTTATTGTAAAATCACTGATTTGAAAAAAGTAAGTAAAGTAAGTTTGCAGAGATAAATTTTTTTCTAAGTAGAAGTTAATATCTGGCTGACAATCCACAGCAGAACAATGTATATTGAATACTAAAAGGCAGAGCTGATTAACCACATTTAAACAGCATGTATTCAAGTTGTATTTGATCATAAGAGGATAGGAAAAACTAACAAAATGCTACAAAAAGTACCATGTTGAAGAATAATAAATTAAAATTGCTTGCTCTATTCTCCAGGACAACAAGTGGCAGTGTTCAACTTGAGTTGACATTGTTTTCTACCATCAGATGCATGTGACTTACTGGTTTAACCAGAATGACATACTGTAACAAGTCAGATGTACACTGACTCTGCTGGGAAAGGATGGTGCTTTATACCTTCTTTTATAATTCTTACTTGGATTAGACGTTGTCAGGTAGGATGTTTGTTTTATGTAAACCTTTTTCATTTTGCTGTTTACTCTATTCAAATGTATTATTATTTGTGTTTTGCTATCACAAAGCCTCATGTCTGATCTTTCTAAATGCTTCAATAAAAATAGGGAAAAATATTGTTCTCATGTTAAGGTACTCTGTTTACTCAAGTTAGTGAGCAGAAAACAGCTCTAATCTATTGTCAACAAAAAAACAAGATCTTAAAAAAGTAATCTGTCTGTCTGTCTGTCTGTCTATTTATTAATTCTGAAGCCTAATTAAACCAGAAAGACCAGAGTCTCTTGCTTGACGCTGTGTGTTGATGAGGACTGAACTGTCTGAAAGTAAACCATTAATTTTAAAAGTATCTCATCTGAAAGTAAAATGTAAGTCATAGTAAAAGTCACTGTCTTATATCAAACTGTAACATGTGAATAATGTTAAATTATATCCTGTTAAAGCCAAATGGACCAGCAGAAACCAGAATCTCCACAACACGTCCCAGCTGAAGATGAAATGTGAGACCTTACTGAAATATTTCAAACATTTATATTACATTTTTGAATTAAGATCAAATCAAAATCAACATTTTCTTTTTAAGCCAAATAAATGAGGAAAACCCAGAATCTCACCTGCCAAGATGTTTGTTCATGACAGACTCCAAACAAGAATTATTGGATTTCAAGGATGAAGGACCCTCTGAAAATAAAATGTGACAGTGATTTATAGGATAACTATAATAAGTTATGCAAGTTTTTCAGATGTTATTGTTGAATGAGGATATATAAATATATATGTATGTCTATATGTGTTAAAGCCAATTGGATACGAAGAGACAAAAACCATCTCAAACAACTTCTGTGTCCATGAGACCAGAATCCTTGTATCATCTCCAGTCTGACAATACAATTTGAGATTTTACTGCAATGTTTCAAACATTTGTATTAGATTTGTGAAATGAGATTAAATCAAAAGTAAACATTTTAAAGCTAAGTAAGACAGTAATTTTCTTGGATAACTGAATTAAGTAATTGATTGGTAATTGATATTATCAATTTTTATTAGTGTAATTAGTATCAGATAATTATAAGTTTTTTTTTAAAGCTAACTGCTTATTATCGTATAGTTTTTTTATGTCAACCAGATAATAATAAATTTAAACCTTCCTTCCTTCCTTCCTTCCTTCCTTCCTTCCTTCCTTCCTTCCTTCCTTCCTTCCTTCCTTCCTTCCTTCCTTCCTTCCTTCCTTCCTTCCTTCCTTCCTTCCTTCCTTCCTTCCTTCCTTCCTTCCTTCCTTCCTTCTCTCACCCAAAGCAATAATAACTCTTGTCTGTTAACAAAACTTTTCGTGTCTAATGTCGTTATGTCACATTAAAGCAGAATGGACCAGCAGAGACCAGAATCTTCACATCATGTCTCACCTGAAGATAAAATGTGAGACTTTACTGTAAATGTTTCAAACGTTTGTATTATATTTAAAAAAAGAGATGAAATCAAAATTAAATGTTTTGTCTTCAAGCCAAATAAATGAGGAAAGGCCAGAATCTCACCTACCAAGAGGCTTGTCGATGACAGAATCCAAACATGAACCATTGGATTTCAAGGATGAAGGACCCTCTGAAAATAAAATGTAAGACAGTGATTTATAGGATAACTATAATAAGTTATACAAGTTTTTCTGATTTTATTGTTAAATGAGGACATATAAATATATATGTATGTCTATGTGTTAAAGGTACACTATGCAACCAGTGTTGATTTTCCAGCGAGGCTCCCCCCAGAGGGCGAAAGTAAAAGTGCACTGTCGTAAATATGCTCAGCTGTTCTCCTGGTTTCTCCGTCAAGCCAGGCGCGGTTGTTTTCAGCTTAGCAGACAGGCGAACGCAACGAATGACTAATGCTGCGTTCACACCGCAGCTGGCGCGACAGAAGCAGCGAGTTTACATGCAAAGTCAATGGTTGACGCGCGTCAAGGCGCAGCAAAAGGTTCTCGCGGCGCGTTTTGAGCAGCAGGCCCAGCGCGTCTGAGCAGCTGAAAGGCGCGTTTAATCATCTGACGCAGGGAGAGAGACACAGCGCTGATGATCAGAGGCTATAATCTCTCCTCTTAAACAGTTTATTGACGCCTAAATTAACTTAAAATGCAGAAATCTGCTGGCAGAGTATGCAGTTTGGATTATTTAGATGAAAAACACCTACCAGCTGCCGTGGTGAACTGCGAGGAGGTGACCCGGCCAGAGGCTGCTGATGAAGGGATCCCTTCTGTCGGCGCACCGCTGGTATGTGGGGGGTCTGAGCGGCTCCGACAGAAAAAATATTGAAGGCAGGATAATAATCTGAATGAACTGACGGCACTGATTACGTTTTCAGGTGTTTTTTCTCATTTAAACACATATTAAAACTACTTTATTCCAAATGATCACAGCAAATATAGCTGCAAGGCAGAGAAAGGATAGTGAAGCTCCGCCCAACGCACGTCAGACACACTTTTGCACCGCGCAGCCAGAGCAGCAAAGCTGCTTCAGCTGCGCGTCAGAACTAACTGGTACAAGCAGCAAAAATGAAGCAGCAGACGCGATTTTGCTGCTTTTGCTGCATGAACGTAGCATAACTGCACAAAGATCGCCACTGTGCTAGTGTTACCGGCCTCAGACCTAGGGGAAATCTGGGCCGGCACAAGCGATGCACAGGCAGGATGCGCTGTGGATCTGTGAATGATGAGGAACGGACACGTTAATACGTTGTGCCTGGCTCTGCTGGCAGCGGTTTATTATTTACTACAACAATCTTAAACATTCAGTCATTCCATTTAAACAAAAATATCAAACTATCCTTGCTTTGAGAATATCACAAAACATCCTAACATGGGGATAGTATTCATGTCAAAATACACTGTCATAGGTTTTAACTTCAAAACAGCTAAAAATACAATTGACCTCTTGGTTTATAATATTGTTAATAACCTGAGTAATACAAACAAAAACTCTTGTAAAATAAAATAAAGTGCAACATAATAACCCATTACATCTGTCTGTCTCTGAGTGTATATGTCTTTTATTGCAAAATAAACTTAATATTCATCAAAATAATAACTTCCCATCACCAAAGAGTAATAAATCTAATGCCCATTCATACCTTCAGCCATTGGCTAAGATGCAAAAAGTAAACATAAAACGACAAACAAATACTCTTGTAAAATAAAATAAAGTGCGACATAATAACCCATTACATGTGTCTGTCTCTGAGTGTATATGTCTTTCATTGCAAAATAAACTTACTATTCATCAAAATAATAACTTCCCATCACCAAAGACAGTAATAAATCTAATCCCCATTCATACCTTCAGCCATTACCTCAGATACAGAAAGTAAACATAAAACAGATACTATATTCTCTTTCACATACACATCTGTACGTCCCGTGTGCTCTCTGTAATCAGCCGTTAAAGAACTACTGGCGGTTGCCGTTATTCGACTCGACAAAACAAAACAAATACTTATCAGAACTCGGATCAAGTCCTCTCAACACGTTACTATCATGTCACAGACAGTTCACATTACTTTCAACATCTTTAAGAATGTTTAGGAATAGTTATAAATAGTACCTGTGAATGATGAGGAACGGACACGTTAATACGTTGTGCCTGGCTCTGCTGGCAGCGGTTTATTATTGACGGTGCATGCGCGGGCAGAGACCATAAGAAGTTTCCTCGTTTGTTCATTCACTGACAGTAGCGCCCTCTACTGACTAGCTGGTCATCGACATGAGTCAGTTAATTTTAGAAAGTTGTTCTAATCATCTTAAAATAAAATAATCTTTTAAAAAAAAATGGGGGTGTCTGTTTTAGTAAAACATTAATTTCTAGACCCACTATACTCTCCCCCACTTCAAGAGATGTCTCCGGACATCTAGAACTACACCACAAGACATCACCTAGACAGGTAACAGTCTAGGAAAAGTCATCTGTCTAATGAGTCCACACAGTTGGAGTAGGGTAGTACTCTGTTCCGAGTAAGATGGGGTACGGAGTCAAGGGGTAAGGAAGAAATGGGAACATTGCATTCACTCCATGTCCCCAGGGCTGGTATGATGGCTGCCCAAATTGGTCATAAGTGAATCTCTCTCTGGGTTGAACCCTGCGGTTGGACCTCCTTAAGAGCTCTCCACCTTGTGACTCTCTATCAGGCTCAACCATCCCCTCTGGCATTCCTTGACCTGTATCATCTGCTCGATCAACTGTTCCAGTTTGTTCATGGACATTCTCAGCAGACTGTGTGTCATCCTGTAGTTGTGCTGGTGCCGATGCCGGTACCACAATGGGAGCAGATTCCATTTGCTGGTACTCAGCATCTGAAGCTGATGCACGTCTTGGAGGTTGGAATTCTTGCGCCTCTACTCTGTGATTGCTGAAATTATCAGATGGAGGCTTCTGATGTCTGATTGTTCTCCTTGTATACACAGGCAGCCGTCGGGGATTGTACACATATCCCTCCTCGTCAACAGAACCATCAGAATCTTGCTCATCTACTTCTCTGCTGCTCATCTGTTTGTGTCTCTGCTTTATTTGTTGCCGTGGGGTATGACAAGAGTGCTCATCTTGTTCGAATGGCAAGTCATTAACAGATAAGAGAAGGTTACGATGGAGTACACGGGTAGTTTTGTCTCCCTCTTCAGCTTGAACTTTGTAAACAGGGCTTTCCCCCATCCTTACAATAACTCTGTGCACTGTCTTCTCCCAGTAAGCACGGAGTTTGCCCGGGCCACCTCTCTCTGAGAGGTTCCTGATAAGCACGCGGTCTCCTGGCTGAAGTGCAATTCCTTTAACACCACGGTCGTAGTATTTTTTTCCTTTAGCTGAGCTGTTACGACTATTCTCTGAGGCTATCCTGTAAGCCTCTTGCATTCGAGTAGCCCATTTCCGTGCATATTCCTCGCGACTGGGCGCTTCTTCCTCTGTCCCCAGGTCAAAGACTAAGTCGATGGGCAGGCGTGGGGCTCTTCCATAGAGGAGAAAGAATGGTGAATAGCCGGTGGCTTCATGTTTCGTACAATTGTACGCATGGACTATATGGGGCAAATAATCTTTCCACTCAGTTTTCCTTTCCTCTTGGAGAGTGCGCAGCATCTGTAACAGCGTTCTATTCAGCCGTTCGACCGGATTCCCTTGCGGGTGGTATGGGGTAGTACGAGAGTGAGCAATGCCAGACAGCTGTTGGAGCCGCTGGAATAGATTATTCTCAAACTCCCGTCCCTGGTCATGGTGCAAAATCTGAGGGTAAGAGAAACGGGGAATAAAATCACAGAAGATTTTCTCAGCTGCTGTCTTGCCTGACTTGTTCTTAGTTGAGTACGCTTGCGCGTAGCGTGTAAAATGATCGACCAAGACTAATACATACTCAAATCCTCCCTTACTTGGCTCCAGATGAAGGTAGTCAATAGAAACGAGCTCAAATGGAGAACTAGTTGTAATTGACTCCATAGGCGCTTTTTCTGGGACAGTGGGTTTTTTTTGCTTAATACAGGAGCACCGGCGAATGACATGGTCTTCTATTTCCCGCTGCATAAATGGCCAATAGAACCTTTGTCTTGCTAGGTGGATGACTTTATCAGCTCCGACATGTCACATGTCATCATGCAGGTGTTTGAGCACGGTCGCCTTTAGCTTACTTGGGAGAACGAGCTGTTTCCATTTTTCTGTCTGTCTGTACAGAATTCCTTTGTCAAGTTTGAGTTTGGTCCATTCACGTACGAGTCTCCTTGTCTCTTGCCCCATCCGTCTTTTATCTTTACCATTGGGGTTCCATCCACTCCTCTTCAGTGTCATCACCTCATTGATCGATTCATCCTCCATTTGAGCAACTCGGATGTCTTCTGGGGTGATGATGGGGACTGTCACAGAGGGGTCGTCTTCACCACCAGAATTGAGATGTAGTGCAGCCATCCATGGCACATCCTTCTCAGCTACAGCCTTGCTCCCCTGCCATATAGTGGAAACAACTTCGGGGGGCAGGGTTTCCGTGTACTCTGATACATGACCCTTCAGCTGTACTGGATAACGTGACAGGGTGTCGGCGTCAGCGTTCGCCTTGCCTGGCCTGTATTTTATGGTGAAGTGAAAATCTGCCAACTCACCCACCCAGCGATGTCCAACCGCATTGAGCTTGGCTGTACTTATGACATAAGTAAGGGGGTTATTATCTGTATACACGGTGAATGTAGGTGCATAATAAAGATAATCCCGAAACCTGTCACAGATTGCCCATTTCAAGGCCAAAAACTCAAGCTTACCAGAATGGAGGTGGTAATTTTTTTCAGCTGGTGTAAGTGTTCTGGATCCGTAAGCAATCACACGAAGTTTGCCTCCCTGCTGCTGGTAGAGCACAGCCCCCAGCCCTTCATTGGATGCGTCAGTGTTCAGTACAAAGGGCAAATTATAGTCGGGGTAGGCCAAAACAGGTGGATTGGTTAGCATGTCCACAAGGCGAGTGACAACAGCAGTGTGTTCATAAGTCCACTGGACAGGTGTATTGGAGAGGAGCGGCCCAGGCTTCAACACCTTTTGTTAATCTGGGGTACTTTTACCTTTGACAGGTTTTTGGCTTGGCTGCCTGGTACCCTCTAGGAGTTGAAACAGAGGTCGTGCGATTCTTGAGAAGTCTTGTATGAATGATCTATAATAGCTAAGGAAGCCTAACAGACCCCTGACTTCTCCCACATTCTTCGGTTCTCTCTCTTTAAGTTGTAACACTGCTTCCAGGTCTTTAGGATCTATCTGGATACCTTCACTTGTCACTAGGCGCCCAATGTATTGGGCACCACTTGTCACTAGGTGCCCAATGCCGGGGCGTTGGTAAGGCCAAAGGGGAGGCGAAGCCACTCATATAACCCCCAAGGGGTACTGAAGGCGGTCAGATGCCTGGAACTCTCATCGACAAAACCCTGATGGTAAGCACTGCCCTGGTCGAGTATGGAGAACCAGGAGTAGCCCCCCAGGTTGTCCAGCAGGTCTTGAATGCGCGGGAGCGGATGACGGTCTGGGACAGTTTTAAGATTTAACGCCCTATAGTCGACACACAGACGTAGGCTCTTATCTTTTTTTCGTACGCAGACCACGGGGGATGAGTATGGTGAGGTGGGCTTTCTTATCCAGCCCTGGTCAAGTAATTTCTGCACATATTCTTTTACTTCTCCATACAGGGGTTTTGGGATCGCATTATAGCGCTTTTGGACAGGTGTCTCATCATTAAGCTGGATTTTGAGTTTCAAATTTGGGATGCAACCGATGTCAGCATCATCCTTGGCAAAGACATCTGATTCCTCATATAACATCTCTCTGGCAATTTTTTGTTCATCCTCTTCGAGGTGTGACAAGTCAATAGGTGGATGCCATTTTTCTCTAATCAGAGCAGAGCAGGTTTGAGCAGTGGAACTGTTTGTCTGCTTCGGATCGCTGGGAGAAAGGGTAATTGGTTTTACCTCACTAATTCCCTCAATTGTGCCCAATATGGTTCTCTGTGGCAGATAGATGTCATGTTTGGTGAAGTTCTGAAGGGGGATTTTTGCAATTTTTGATGAGCCTGAGGGGACATCGACTAAAGTAGGAAGGGGGTCTAAACCCTCAGGACAGTTGTTCTCTAGGCTGGGCTCAAATACCATTGTTCCACCCTGTGGCCATGCTCTGACTCTGCACCTCACCTCACAGATTTGACCAGCAGGGATTTTTAGTCCTTTCTTTCCGACTCGCACAGGGCAAGGGGAAGGTGTTTCATCAGGGGACAATATCTGGAGGATGGAGATCAGAGTTTCCACTGTTTGTTCACTGAGACTCATGGCTTCCTTCAGTATGGCAGTAATATCTACCTGTTCTTTGTTTTCCTTGATCATCTCCGCAATGACATTGCTACCTAAAAGGGGACCATTAACACAACTCTGACTTATTAATATGGGTACTTGAATGTCAATGTGTCCATGGCTCTTACTGCGTATCTGTAAGTCCACATAAGCCCATCCATCGAAAGGAACTGTTGTACCATTAGCTGCAGATACTTCAAGCGGTTGGTCTGGGAATAGGGATGAGAGTGGCTGTATATTAACAGTGGGTAGTGCTTCCTCTACCCATGCTCTCCCCACCATGGTCACCTGAGCCCCTGAGTCAAGCAGCATTTGAAGTGGGACTCCATTCATTGCACATGAGACCATACATCGCTTGCCGATTAATTGTGCTACCCGGTTTCTAGATGTGGGCTGGGACAGCAGTGAAATTGAGTCTACTGGGTTTGTGGTTTCAACTGAGTTAGCCTGTGCTGGAGGCTTGTTACTGGCAACGGTCACCGGCAGCCTCATTCCTGTGACCTCCTCTCGTTTACCGACACCTTTCTCTGCAGACATCCAACTGCTCTATGACCTTCTTGGCCACAAACAAAACAGTGTGGGCAGCTCCTAATGTTCTTTTGCACACACTCCTGACATCTGCCTCTGTTCTCAGCTGATATCTGGAATCGGTTTGAGGGCCGGGTGAAAGGGGTGCAAGGACTCCCATTGGTCACAGGCTCTAAGGGTTTGACAACGCGGGCAACTTGTTGAGCGATCGAGTTCACCTGTGCAGTCAGTTCTAGAATAGCAGCGCGGTTTGCCTGTAATTCAGCATCAACAGCGGTTGGTTTAGTCTGGTCAGTTTGAGCCACATTTACAGACGCTGGTCGGGTTTTAGTCATTGTACCAAGGCGTTTCACCCTATCCATCTCCTCACTAGTGGACTTAGTGATCTGTTCTAAGAGAAGGTCATCAGTAACCTGTAAGTTTGTGAGAAAAGGTTTCAGGTCACATCTTACATGGCTATTTTTCTCATTTAATCCTTGGTAAAGAGTGTGAAGAAATGTGCCTTGGACAAGTTTTTTATCATAACAAAAATCTGCACCTGGCTGTTGTGACTCAAAAATAATCCTCTGTTTTAGACCCATGATACGATAAAAGAATTGCTGTGGGCCCTCTTTGTCTTGCTGTCTAGCGGTGCTAAGCTCTTGAAAAAGTTCAGTCCCGTTCTTGTCTCTAATATGAGAGCGGAGAAACCTTTTTAACTCACTCATAGTAAGATCATCTTTGCTAGTCAACATCTCCCTGAACGTACCAGGTTTAGTTATCTTAAACACAGTGCGAATAACTTCTGTCTCACTAAACCCTTCCAGTAAACCTTGATCCATTTGTTTACAGAGGCTGCTGTAGGACACTTCAGAGCCGGTGTCAGAAATCTGACCACCATGAATCTTAAACTCTCTACGTGGAAACAGAGCAGCTACATCAGTGAGTTTTACAACCTGCTCACCAGCACTGGAAGACAGGCTGGCACGGCCAGGAAGGGCGGCACATGCGCTGTTGGTGGCGGACTCAACTGGCGATGTGGTGGAAAGGTTCCTGGGAGGTCCATTATTGTCTCTGGCTGTGGTCGGTTGAGGGCTGGGAAAGTCTCTTTCTTCAGGTGATGACAGCAGGTGGTAGCCCATGGATGCAGTAGTCGAACTGATCCTTTGACGAGTGTCTGTATCCTCCTGCTGGGGGGGTGCAGCCTCACTGACTTCTTTTGCTCCCCCGACTGTATCTCCTTCATTCGTGTTTTGTAACAGGCGATCGAGCATGTCGTCAAGGTGAAGAATCTGAGACATGACTTCATCTTCCATGCCGCTTAGCTTCTCGCTTCTTAAGAAATCGTCAATCAAATCAAACAGTTCTGGTTCACTCAGTGCCATAAGGCCCTCAGCGTCCGGCCCCGATCCGTCATCAATTGCACTGGCGATGACCTGTAGTTGACTGATACTCAATGCAAACAGTCTCTTTCGGATTTTGAAAACCAGCATCCTCCGAGGGGTTGTGGTAGCCATCTTTAACCTCTGTAGCCTCTACTCTATGGATGACGCACAGTACTGCAGCCTTCCTGAAGCTTTGGACACAGGTCTTCTCTGTAGCAGTTCCCACTCTCCCAACTAGGTGGCGCTGGAGATCCCGGACGAGCCCCCAATTGTTACCGGCCTCAGACCTAGGGGAAATCTGGGCCGGCACAAGCGATGCACAGGCAGGATGCACTGTGGATCTGTGAATGATGAGGAACGGACACGTTAATACGTTGTGCCTGGCTCTGCTGGCAGCGGTTTATTATTTACTACAACAATCTTAAACATTCAGTCATTCCATTTAAACAAAAATATCAAACTATCCTTGCTTTGAGAATATCACAAAACATCCTAACATGGGGATAGTATTCATGTCAAAATACACTGTCATAGGTTTTAACTTCAAAACAGCTAAAAATACAATTGACCTCTTGGTTTATAATATTGTTAATAACCTGAGTAATACAAACAAAAACTCTTGTAAAATAAAATAAAGTGCAACATAATAACCCATTACATGTGTCTGTCTCTGAGTGTATATGTCTTTTATTGCAAAATAAACTTAATATTCATCAAAATAATAACTTCCCATCACCAAAGAGTAATAAATCTAATGCCCATTCATACCTTCAGCCATTGGCTAAGATGCAAAAAGTAAACATAAAATGACAAACAAATACTCTTGTAAAATAAAATAAAGTGCGACATAATAACCCATTACATGTGTCTGTCTCTGAGTGTATATGTCTTTCATTGCAAAATAAACTTACTATTCATCAAAATAATAACTTCCCATCACCAAAGACAGTAATAAATCTAATCCCCATTCATACCTTCAGCCATTGGCTCAGATACAGAAAGTAAACATAAAACAGATACTATATTCTCTTTCACATACACATCTGTACGTCCCGTGTGCTCTCTGTAATCAGCCGTTAAAGAACTACTGGCGGTTGCCGTTATTCGACTCGACAAAACAAAACAAATACTTATCAGAACTCGGATCAAGTCCTCTCAACACGTTACTATCATGTCACAGACAGTTCACATTACTTTCAACATCTTTAAGAATGTTTAGGAATAGTTATAAATAGTACCTGTGAATGATGAGGAACGGACACGTTAATACGTTGTGCCTGGCTCTGCTGGCAGCGGTTTATTATTGACGGCGCATGCGCGGGCAGAGACTATAAGAAGTTTCCTCGTTTGTTCATTCACTGACAGTAGCGCCCTCTACTGACTAGCTGGTCATCGACATGAGTCAGTTAATTTTAGAAAGTTGTTCTAATCATCTTAAAATAAAATAATCTTTTAAAAAAAAATGGGGGTGTCTGTTTTAGTAAAACATTAATTTCTAGACCCACTATACTAGCAACGAGAATGCTTTTAACTGGGGGGGTGTAGCAGTTCTCGCCGTAAAGCAAGACTGACTCTCAGGAGACTTCTGAGCCTATGGGTGCGGGTCGGTGCTCCTGCAATTGCAAGTGCAGTATTTCCCCCACAGACCACCAGGGCGGCCGAGAATACCTTTGTTCAACCTGAAATTACTCATTTAATCATCCAAAACGTTATGGAACACATTAATTAACTGAAAAATGTTGCATAGTGTGCCTTTAAAGCCAAATGGATACAAAGAGACTAGAACTATCTCAACCAACTTCTGTATCCATGAGTACAGAACAATCAGAAGATGAACCAGATGAAATCGTGGAACAACGCCCCTCTGTTCATGAAATGTATGTCTCTATTTAATTCTGTTATATTAAGACGGAGGAACGAGGGACCTACCCGCTCCAGCCGGTGAACAATACCTCCTTAACGACCAACCCTTAACAATCATAGACAGGTTTCAGGTATTACAGGAGACAATCCCCCCCTTAATGGCAATCCCCCCTTTAACGACCCCTAGAATCATAGACAGGTTCAGATATTACAGGCTAACGATGGAACTAAACGACCCATTCATCGGTTACCATTTGCATGTTTCCAAGCGATACAAGGCGTTGTCTATATAAGACTCAAACTCACTGCGGATCCAGACATTTGAATTGAGAAAGCTTCCTGGAGAGGTGGCGAAACGTCTTCAAATCTTGAAAACCAAGTCCAGTGGATATTTTTTTGAATTTTTTTTACGGAATGTTATATTAAGGCTTTTTTTAAATTATGAATTGAGCAATAACAAGAAACATAACCAGAAACAGGATTTTTACATGTTTATGTCGGGTTAGGTTTTATCTGATGATAACACTTCATCCTTACTGAAAACAATGTATTGTTAATAACATAACCAGGAACAAAAAGCATGAAAAGAAGACTGGGATTCCGCTGAAGAAACTTTAGATGAACCACAACAGAATTATGAATAAAACAGTTTAGGCTGCTTAAATATACAGAATGGTACATTTAGTTGCATGAAATTACACTTATTTATTTGAATTAAAATCTGTGTGTATGATTGTTGTTTTGTGCACTGTCATTTGGTGGTGGGTAAACAACGTCAACTCACGGGTGATCAGGTGTAACGCAGCACAGCTGATTAGGTGGGAGGTGGCACTTACCTGGTTTGGTGTGCTGGCTTGCCGTTGGATGTAGTGTTCCTAGTGATGCGTAGATAAACAGGAGCGTGCACGCACAGAGACAGAATCCAATTGCATGGCTGGAAGAGCGACGCACATCACCGGTAAGGTGCTGGGTTTTAATATTCTCTCGCTGGTTGTTTTAAACTGCTTGATCGACTGTTGTTGCCCTTTAACTGGTCGGATGTTTATAACTTTTTCACTGTGGTCGCTTGGCGAGTGCATTGTTTTAATCCGCCGATTACTGTTAAAGTTTATTAGTCTGAGTTGACGGTACAAACTTTTGAAACGAAGCGCGTTTGACGCTATGCGCTTACTTCCTGATTCGCGGTGCACTCTGGGTGTTGTAGTCGGGCCGAAGTCGTAGTTGTTTCCTGTAATGCATGATGGGAGATGTGGTTCACTCACTTAGCATTTGTAAATGGGCTCCTGTTGTTGTTGTTTTAAGCTGCTTTTTGCAGTGGTAGCTCTGGTGTTTGTATGTAATGAAATGGATTAAGTGTAGTGTCTGTTGTTGTGCATTCTATTGTTTATATTTATAGATATTGTTGGCTATGCTTTAATGAGGAATTGTATTTATATGAATTATTTATAAAAGCTGCAGATCTTTATACAGTAGTTACTGACGCTTCATGGTGTGTGTCTAAATAAGAGTTTATAGCTTATGGATGCATTTATGTTTATTTATATGGATTTCTCATTGATATTGCAGTGAATTTGTATTAGTTAATTATGTAAATATCTGAACATGGCATCTAATGTATGGCACAACTTTGGTGTTTTCCAAAGGTTTATAACCTGCTGTGTTTCAAGTGTGAAATCAAGAAAGAAAATGAACAAACAACATTTGGACACTGAGTTGTAACCAAGTCTCGCTCTTCTAGCGACCCTTTCGGTGGGGATAAATAAAAATAAAAAATAATTGTTTTTAAAAGCCCCTGTTGACTACATGCTTTGCAAATTCACATGTGTGGTGAATTGGCTCTATATAAATACATTGTATAGAACCAAATTGCTGTTTTATAAATTATCCACCCATCTCTGTGTTGATACCTCTAGCTCCTATGTGTTTTAGGAATATAAATTGTTAGACATAAAGCTTTATTTTTTTTTTAAGCAGCAGAAATCCTGGAAGACAGTGGAAACCTAGGAACAACAGATTTTTTGTTGCACATTTCAGTAACAAGGCAATTCAAATTGCTCTACATGAATAGAACATAAAAAAAGAAAAACAAAAGAAAGGTTCACTGCAGTACAGCAATAAGGCCAACAAAATATATACTACAAAATGTTACTTTAGAGATGGGAGTAAAAATATAATTTAATAGCTATAAAGTCTTACAACATTGCAAATTCTGATATGAGAACTATAAGTGTTACCAAAGCTTTGACAAATATTCTTGTAAATGTTGTAAAAACATAGCATTGTTACATTTCTCACATTTGTTGTTAATTGTAAAATGGAAGTGATCAAGTTTGTGATTTTGATCCGATGAATTCCTAAATATTGTTACCGGTAATTCAATTATTATTCAGGGTGAAAATCCTTTCAAAATAAGGATACAGAAATATATATTTCTCTGAATATAATTGGTGTGGTAAAAACCTCAGATGTGGCTTTACTTTGTGTCTTTTTGTCTCACAGTTTGAGTCGGATGCGGCCCCTCTCCAACAAAAGACCATCAAGGAGGTCTAGTGGCCATGAGAATAAAAGTCACCTGGATTTAGTTTTCAAGGTATAGCGTACAACTTTATTTCTATTATCTTTTTGGTGTAGCTTCATTGAAGTTCATATTAAGTTTAAAACACATTTTCTACAAAGACGAAAATTAAAACTTTGATTTTTTTATATAAACGTCTCCCTACAAACATCATTTTGTGATAATACTTATAATGTTTAAGACTTGTTTTGCATCACCTGCCTAATCAGGAAAGTCCCAAGTTTTTAAAACCTGTTTGTTCACATTTTTGTTACTGGCAGATGACTAGTTTAATTATACGGACAAACACCTCGACACCTCGTTTCCAATTTCTTTTTGTGTAAGTCAGTGGAAAGAGCAGATTTGTTAATTATTAGTGTTCATCTTCTGAAGCCCTTGGGTGGCAGTATCAGTTGTAGTTTTATTCTTAATTTATTGCTGCAGGATAGATGTATGGTGACTGGTTTTCCAAATATAAAAGATAATTTTGATGTCTTGCTTTAAAAAAGGTTTCATATGAAATTTGTGTTTCTCCAGGTGCTTGAGGACGACATTATGCATTTTGTAACAAGTGAACTTAGAAAAATGAAGAACATGTTGAGCCCGGAAAGCTCAGGGAGGTATAGTGAGAATAAAGAGGAAACAGCTGATGAGGAAATGCATAGAAAGAGCAACAGATATGCATTCCTGAAAATTACAATCAACTTCTTGAGGAGAAGGAATGAGGAGCGGCTCGCTGAATCTTTGTTGAATAGTAAGAGATTATTAAATTTTCTGTTAATGTAGTTTAAATATTAAATAAATATATCATAAACTTAAAAAAGGATTACATTTATTTCATATATTTACCTACTATCCACAATAACCTCTTATTTTTATTTTTTTTATCAGAAGCTCAAACAGCTGTTTACCAGTTTAAATTGAAGTCCCACTTGGTTAAAAAGTGTCAGCAATTTTTCGAGGGTAATGTCAAGAGAGGAAACCCGAAAAGTATAAGTCAAATCTACACTCAGCTCTATGTGGCACCTGATGAGAGAGAAGTCAAGGATGAAGATGACGTCCAAAAAATTGAATCAGCATCTTTGGTACCAGGTGGTTCTGAAACCACCATCAGCTGTGAGGACATTTTTAAACCTGAGAGAGATGAGAAAATTAGAACGCTGGTGACCAAGGGTGTTTCTGGCATTGGGAAGACAGTGTTGACACAGAAGTACACTTTGGACTGGGCTGAAGGCAAAGCCAACCCTAACATACAGTTTATCTTCCCATACACATGCAGGGAGCTCAATTTGCTAAAATCTAAAAGCATCAGCTTAATTGGACTTATTCATCAATTCTTCCCTGAAACAAAGGAAGCAGAAATCAGTTGTTTTGAGAAATTCCAGGTTCTGTTTATTTTTGATGGTCTGGATGAGCTTCAACCACCTCTCACCTTCAGCAACGCTCAGATTCTAACAGATGTTAGTGAAACTGCATCGATGCATGTGGTGCTGGCAAATCTAATCAGGGGAAAACTTCTTCCCTCAGCTCTTATATGGATAACCACACGACCGGCAGCAGCCAATCAGATCCCTTTCCAGTATGTTGACAGCATGACAGAGGTCAGAGGGTTCACAGACTTACAAAAGGAAGAATACTTCAGAAAAAAATACCCAGACAAGGAACGGGCCAAGAGCATCATATCCCATATTTTTACATCAAGCAGTCTCCAAGTAATGTGTCGCATCCCTGTTTTCTGTTGGATCACTGCTACAGTTCTGGATGAGGTCATGAAAGATAAAGGGAAAACAGAGCCACCCAAGACCCTAACTGAGTTGTATATTCACTTCCTGGTCGTACAGATCAATCGTGACAATGCCAAGAGTCACAACAAAATGTTGACTGAGCTCATCTGGAATTCAGAGAGCGAGAAGATCTTACTTACTTTTGGAAAATTAGCTTTTGAGCAGCTGGAAAGGGGAAACCTGATCTTCTATGAAGAGGACCTAAAGGAGTATGACATAGACATAAACACTGCATCGGCATACACAGCAGTGTTTAGAGAGAGCTTTAAAGAAGGGAGCATACTGAACCAGAAAAGGATGTTTGGTTTTGTGCATCAGAGCATTCAAGAGTTTCTGGCTGCACTTCATGTCTTTTTAGAGTTCATTAAGACCAGTAATAATCTGTTGAGAAGAAGTCTCAAGCCTTTGCAGCGAGAAAACAAATTCAAACAGTTTTACCTGAGCGCAGTGGACAAGGCTTTGGGCAGTCCAAATGGACAATGGGACATGTTTACACGCTTTCTTTTAGGACTCTCGCTGAAAAACAACCAAAACCACCTACAAGGCCTAATTAAAAAAACAAGTCAGTTACCAGATGTTCAACAAATGCTTGTCCAAAACATCAAACAGAAAATTAGGGTTTGTCCTTCATCTGAGGAAAGCGTTAGAATGTTTGACTGGCTAAATGAACTGAATGACCATTCCCTAGAAGAGGAGATGACACTGTATCTGAAGGAAAAGGGTTGGGCAAAGAAGCTCACTTCTTCTCAGTGGTCAGCATTGGCTTATGTCTTGATGTATTCACAAAGAAATTATATTTTCAACTTCAAGAAGTTCTCTGATTCAAAGGAGGCACTCATATGGCTTCAGCCGGTGATGAAAGCATCAAAGAAGTCTCTGTATGTATTAAAATAATCTAAGAAAATGTTATCATGTATTCAAGAGGGGAAAGAGTAATTAAATATCCATCTGCAATTTGTGTTTTAGGCTCTATAGTTGTAAACTGTCACAGAGAAGCTGTATACCTCTTGGATCAATGTTGGCTGCTGAAACATCGTGTCTCAGAGAGCTGGACCTGAGTGACAATGACCTGCGCGATGATGGAGTAGAAATCCTCTCTCAAGGACTTATGAATAAAAAGTGTAGATTGGAGGTTCTTAGGTCAGTATTTCAAAACTTAAGCAAAATAAACATTCCTACTAAGAAATATAAATACATTTGTTATTGTGTTTGTATTCCCAATGACAATATTAGGATCACCTCTGGAAAAAAAGAGTAAACATTTCATAGCCGTGTTATAACAATATGGCCGTATAATTATTTACAGCTTGTCAGGCTGCTTGGTGTCAGAGAGAGGCTGTGCTTCTCTGGCTTCAGCTCTGACCTGCAACCCTTCTCATCTGAGAGAGCTTGATCTGAGCTTTAACCATCCAGGAGAATCAGAGCTGAGAAAGATTTATGCTGGCATGAAAGACCAAGGCTGGAGGCTACAGACTCTAAAGTAATTTTAGTTTTCTTAAAATGAATAAATATTTTTCATATTTCTTTATGTAACTGGTCATAGTACACATATTTATCGTAAATATTTATGACATCTTATAATTTCTTCTTTTACAGAACAGATCATTGTGGAAAGCTTCGCCTGAATCCATCACCCCAACGGTGTAAGTTAAATATTTTTATTTTCATTATATTTTATCCACTTAATTCTCATTCACCAAAATATTATCTCAAAGCGCTTCACAAAGCAAACAATAATTGATGCAATTTTGAGGTAACACAGCCCAACTAACTTATCAAGAAAGACTTTTTTTTTGTAACAGAATACCTTCATCTGCAATGTTTTGTGAAACGACCAAGGTGGCAGGAATGATTACTAATGTGATCTGATTACTGTCATTAACCCAACATGGCGAGTAAGGTAGTGCAAGCTCTCTATTGGCTGTGTGATGTTGCAATTGCATAAATGCAGCCAGCTGGCTAAGAATTAAATTTGTAGCACACTTGGGGGAGTGGCGGCCTAGTAGTTGGGGCATAGAGCTTGGAATCCTGAGGTTCTGAGTTCAAGTCCCACCCCCACAGACTGCCTCTCTGGGTCTCAGACCCTTAACCCCAGACTGCTGGGGTTGCTAACTCCAGGCGTCACACCATGGCAGCTCAGTGCATCCCCAAGGGATGGGTTAAATGCAGAGATACATTTCTCCAATGTGAGATCATTAAACTTCAATTATTAAGTTCAATGTATGTATTTGACACACATAATCTCTAAGACATGATAGATCACTGGATTTAATCCATCTGTGTTTCTTTCTGTAGCTGTTATACTTTCTGAGAGACTGTATAGCAAAGTCATCTTCAGTGCAAGCAATAGTAGACACAAAGTATTGGGTTGTTGATTTTAGAATTTCAATATACATAGATAGCCAATGGTTGCATTGTTGAGAATCATTTCACTTCACATTTCACTCCAGCTGAACCAGGCTTGATGAGAGCATTTATCTCCCACAAGTAAATAAGAAATGTTCTAATAAAATCTAGGTGAATTCTGCTGTTTGTGGACAGAACACGTTGTTACACCGAGAACATGCTGTAAGTTACAGCAATGACTTAGTAGAATTTTTAAACCTGAAGGAAGAAACAGTCAATCATAGGATCAGTTGGCCAGGTGTAGTATCACTAAATCAAAAAAGAGAGAATTTAAGATACTGTCTTAAATAAACAAAAATTATACCTACAGGCTTAGATAGGGACGAGTAAGGCAAGGCAAAGGCAAGGCAGCTTTATTTGTATAGCCAATTTCAGCAACAGGGCAATTCAAAGTGCTTTCCATAAAATCAGTTAAAAAAAATAAATAAAACACAGAAGAAACAGTTAAAAATAAAACAGAATAAAAATTACAGTGCAGTATAAAAGAATAAACAGTAAAGAAATTAACGCAATTTAGAGAAAGGCAACATCAAAAAAGGTCTTCAGCATTGAAAGAACTGAGAGTAGCAGCGGACCTGCAGGTTTCTGTGAGTTTATTCCAGATGTTAGGACCATAGAAACTGAAAGCTGCTTCCCCCTGTTTATTTCTGACCCTAGGAACAGAAAGTAGACCTGTCCCAGATGACCTTAGAGGTCTGGGGGGGTCATAGTGTACTAGCAGGTCAGAAATGTATTTAGGCCCTAAAGTAAAGAGAAACATCAGAGGGATGAAAGGGTGTCAGTAAGTCTACCAATAATCTAAGGTTTGACAAAGACAACCCAGTCTCATGGGAAAATGTACCCCCACTACGTTGGTCCACACTGCAAAACGTAGTGGAGGTACATTAATGGCCATTTTTTTGTGGTACTGTTACATTTCTTCTGCCTATACGCTTTCTATTGTTTTACGTCCTAGTCACGTGACTTTCAAGATTCCGGCTGGGAGAAGAGAAAAAAATAAATATATGGCTGACATTTGCTCATTTTTTTGTGGAAAGATTAATAACTTGAGTTTGTTTTTGCATTAAAATGAGTTTTGATTACATTTCTAGTGAGAAATGTATAGTTTGTTGTCAGAATATTTACTCAGGGAATGTACATATTCACTTGCTTGTTCATTTCTTGCAAAGATTTTTCAAGATAATGTGAAACCGTAACATTTTGGTGTAAACATGGCCGAGATTTCTCTAACTTTAAATAATTTGTACTTTATATAACCATCTTCCTTTTTTATCTTCATTCCACCTTTTTTGCCATTTTTCAATTTCTTTCCTCTTAATAAATGATTTTCATTCCCCTTTCCCTAAAGGAATTGTAATTGTTATTGCCTCCTCTAAAGCCCTTTTTGCTAATTTGTCTGCCTTTTCATTTCCTTTTACCCCTTCATGTGCTGGAACCCAACAAAACCAAATATCAATGCCACCCCTGTATAATCTAAATAAACTGTGTTGAATTTCTAATACTAAATCTTTCCTATTATTTCCTTCTCCCTGAATACTTTCTAAAACTGCTTTGGAATCCGTGCATACCACCACCCTGTCTGGTCTGACCTCCTCAACCCATTGGAAACTCAGTATACCTGCCACCATCTCTGCTGTGAAAACAGATAGTTAATCTGAAATTCTTTTAGAAATGTGTATTTTGAACTCTGGTACATGTATTCCTATTCCCACACACCCTTTTAAATTCTTAGAACCATCAGAATATATTTTAAGGTAATTATAATATGCGTTTCTTAAATATATATCAGTCTGTATCCATATTTCGTTTAAATTCCAATCATTTTTCAATAAGTCTCATGTCTACATTTATCTCAGGAAATAGCCATGGAGGAATAACACTAATTGGATTAAACCTCTTCCTCCTTCGTGGCAGCTTCAAAATGCATCCGAAGTCAAAACATTAAGATTTCTTTCTTTCTTTTTAATTTTTGCTGACAATCCAATAAAGAATAATTATTTGAAAAGCATAGTAATATAATATTTTTTTTAAAGCAGTTAATGATTCCAACAAGCAAACTCATATTATAATTACCTTGGGTTCCAGCACATGAAGGGGTAAAAGGAAATGAAAAGGCAGACAAATTAGCAAAAAGGGCTTTAGAGGAGGCAATAACAATTACAATTCCTTTAGGGAAAGGGGAAGGAAAATCATTTATTAAGAGGAAAGAAATTGAAAAATGGCAAAAAAGGTGGAACGAAGATAAAAAAGGAAGAAGGTTATATGAAGTACAAAAGTCAGTATTAAATAGAAATATTAATGAGAGAAACCGAAGGGAAGAAATAATAATGATCAGATTAAGAGTAGGTCATACTTATTTAAATGACAATTTATACTTAATAGGGAGGAAAAATAATGATAAATGTGAAGGATGTGGAGAGATAGAAAATGTAGAACACGTATTGATGATAGAGTTGAAAGGACAGGCCAAGAATGGAGTCTTAAAGGATTTTTGCGAAATAAAGGAAATATAAAAGATATTTATAGATTAAGGAAAGCATTATTTATTTATCTTCAGAATACAAAATAAAAAAATAGAATTTAATAGATGTAAAACAATGTTGCTACACACTCATGAACAGTAGGTGGCGGTATGCACGCCCCTTCCAGTGAGCCCGGTGGGACCGAAAACATTTTGAATGGAAATCAATTGGGAGAAATTAATAAACTTCTGGTCCCAGTCGCTCTCTGTCATTGATTCCAGATATGCTGGTTGTGTATTTAAATTGTTTTTGTTTTTCTGAGTTCCACTTTGGTCAAAACCCATCAATGAGATCGCACCAAACAGGAAGTTAAATGCACAAAGGATCCGGTAGATTTCCAAATAAAACACATCCGATCTTAACCCATGATCATTTTGTCAACATTAGTTTCTCCCGTATGCCACGACGTAATGCATTGATCTGAAAATCAACCTCAGACGCAACGCACGCAGTGGGGAGGGTTTGATCCGTCAGATGGAGTTAAATCACAAAGAATTCAATGTTGAATCGGGGCGGCAGCTAAATGCTAGGCGATGGGTAGCAGCCAAAACGTTGCAATTTCACATAATCCTGACGAGATCCGAAAAACGGTAGCAAAAACTAGCAAGCGGGTGATTATGTATGTTCACTAAGTAAATATTATGTAAATAAACCCTACACTTCTCGCTATGAATGTAATCAAAACCCATTTAAATGCAGAAACTGATTGAAATTATTGATTTTCCCACTAAAAGTTAGAGAAATCTCGGCCATGTTTATACCAAAACGTTTAAGTTTCACATTATCTTGAAAAATCTTTGCAAGAAACGAACAAGCAAGTGAATATGTACATTCCCTGAGTAAATATTCTGACAACAAACTATACATTTCTCACTAGAAATGTAATCAAAACTCATTTTAATGCAAAAACAAACTCAAGTTATTAATCTTTCCACAAAAAAATGAGTGAATGTCGGCCATATATATATTTTTTTTCTTCTCCCAGCTGGAATCTTGAAAGTCACGTGACTAGGACGTAAAACAATAGAAAGCGTGTAGGCAGAAGAAATGTAACAGTACCACAAAAAAATTGCCATTAATGTACCTCCACTACGTTTTGCAGTGTGGACCAACGTAGTGGGGGTACATTTTCCCATGAGACTGGGTTTACAAATGACCGGGGATAAAATTGCCTGTTACACAGTTTTTTTTTTATTTTTTAGTCCATAACAATCACTGGGCAGTTACTCCAATCTCATCAAGAGATTGAATTGATTAATAAAGCCAAGGTTAGAATAACAACAAAAATGTGTATTTCTGAGATTATAAACATGTAGTGACTCTTGTCTATTTTCTATTATCAGTTTTCCTTGAGCAAATACTGGATCCCAACACAGCAAACAAAAATCTCCTATTGAGTGAAGACAACAAACAGGCAGAGATGGTAGAAAAGCAGACCTATGCTGATCATCCACGGAGGTTTGACACCTGGAAACAGGTGCTGTGCAGAGAAGGTCTGACTGGTCGTTGCTACTGGGAGGTCCGATGGAGAGGAAGCATCAGAATAGGAGTGACGTACAAAAGAATCAGTAGGAAGGGGCAGAGTGAGGAGTGCTGCATTGGTTTAAATGATCACTCTTGGATTCTTTCCTGTGATTCTCAGGGTTTCACTGCCTGGCACAATAACAAACAAACTGTCATAAAACCAAACCAACCTATCAGCTCCAACAGACTAG